TACCTTTAGGAGTCCTCTGGGTCCCCTCCCCAGGTTCCTGTGACTTTCATGATCTTCCTGCTCCTCTCTGCTCCCTAGCACTGTCCACCCAAGGAGGAAGCTCCTGTACCGTGGTCCGCGCCGCCCGGCCATGCTACTCAGAGTGACTGGCAGGAGGGAGCATGGTCACTCATACCCTGGGCCCCCTAGCCCTATAGGATGCACCGGCCCTGCTGTCACCCCCTGTGATGCACACCCTGGTGCGCACCACACCCCCTGCATCCCCTTTGTGACGCCACTGGTTGGCCATATGGGTGCGAGCAGCAGACAGGAGAAGGTCACGGGCAGATCGGAGAGACCGAGAAGCGGCATACCTACGGATCAGTGAAGAGATATAGGAGGAGCTAGAATATGGTCATTGCTTTATAGGAACAGATTAGTATTTTGAATTGACTCCTATAGGATACAGGAAGCCAATGTAAGGAATGACAGAGGGGATAGGTGTGAGAAGAACGAAAAAGCTGTTTACAAAAGCACTTTTCCCTGCAGTATACAGAATTCACATGCAGGAGAGCGAAAATCGATCAGTTATTCAACAGGCAAGCCTAAGATCTATCTTAATTAGTTAACTGATTTCCTTCCTGCATGATATGAATGCTACATACTAAAGGACATAACTTTCCATGTGCTTTTCATCAGCACACAATAGTGGTACTTGTCTGGGAAACAGGGCCGGCGCTTCCTATAAGGCGAACTAGGCAGCCCTGCGCCCCCATCGCCAACCCTTTAAATTCTGCAGCCGCCTGAGCGCTCTATAGAGAACGCTCAGGCGGCTGCTGCACTGCCTCACCTCCCCGGCACTGTAGCGTGGCCGAGCTCCTATCCGGTCCGCGACCCGGCCGGACTGACAGGAAGTGCACACTGAGTGTGCACTTCCTGTCAGTCCGCCGGGTCGCGGACCGGATAGGAGCTTGGCCACGCTACAGTGCCGGGGAGGTGAGGTGAGGAGAAGCTGCTGGGAGGGGTGGGAGATGATGATGGGGGGGGAGATGGGAGGGGGGAGATGATTTGATGGGAGGGAGGGGGAGATGATGGGAGAGGGGGGGAGATGATGGGGGAAGATGATTGATGGAGGGGGGGAGATTATTTGATGGGGAGATGATTTGATGGGGAGATGATTTGATGGGGGGGGATGATTTGGGAGGGAGGGGGGGACATGATTTGATGGGAGGGGGAGATGATTGATTGGGGGAGATGATTGATGGGAGGAGGGGGGAGATGATTGATGGGAGGAGAAGAAGAGAAGGGGGAGAAGAAGAGAAGATTATGGGGGGAGAAGAAGAGAAGATTACGGGGGAGAAGAGAAGATTACGGGGGGAGGGGAGAAGAAGACAAGATTACAGGGGGGAGAAGAAGCGGAGAACACAGGGAGGGGGGGAATAAGAGGAAAACACGGGGGAGAAGAAGAGGAGAACACGAGGGGTGGGAGATGAGAAAGTAGGGGAGGGAGAGACCACTAAAGGAGGGAGGGGGCAGTGGAGAGACCGCTAAGGGAGGAGGGTGGAGGATAGACCACTAGGGGAGGGTGGGGGGAGAGGAGAGACCACTTATGGAAAGTCGGGGAGAAAAGGAGACCACTAAGGGAGGTGGGGGGGAGAGGAGAGACCACTAAGGGGCAGGGGAAATCTCTAAGGAATGGAAGGGAGAGCTCTATAGGACAGGGGGACAGGGAGCTCTTTCACACCACGCGCACACACACACACACACACACACACACAATGCATCCCTATACACACAGAAACACAACATGCTTCCCTTACACACACGCAAACACACACTGTTTCTCTTACACACACACACAGACACACACTGCATCCCTTACATACACAGAAACACACTTTGCATCCCTTATGCATACAAACACAGATTCACACAATGCATCCCTTACACACAACAAGAAACACACAATACATCTCTTATACACAAACACTCACTGCTTTCTATCCCTTACACAAACAACACTGCATCACCTACACAAACTGGTATCTCTATACACTACATTCCGTAAGCACACACATTAGATCCTCTACAGTAACACATAACACATCCCCTACACACTCTACTCCCTGTGAGTTCATGGGTGGAACATGTAGGTGGCCTTATGGGTGGGCTTTATGGGCATACTCACGGTCAGGCCCTGGGGCCCAGACCTTGAGCTATGTAAGAGGCCACCAAAAATGGAGCTGCTTCCCATTCTCCCAGAACATTGAATTTTGTGACCAGAGTTACAAACAGCCTCCAGAGATCCTGTTCTACACCAGACCAGTGGAGCCAGACTGCAGCCAGAGCCCATCACCATCCTCATCTGATTGTAAGTAGGCAATCTAGTATGTTATTAGTGACACTAATCTCTAATTTACCTCACATTAAATGGACACTATAGTCCCCAGAACCACTGCAGCTTAATAAAGTTGTTCTGGTGTCTATAGTTTGTCCCTGCAGGCCTTTTAATGTAAACACACACTGTGTGCAGCACTGGCATTAGTTCATATGGGTGGGGCATTGCGATGTTCCGGGGGGAAGGGGGGCGGCAAATCTTTCTTTTGCCTAGGGCGGCAAAAATCCTTGCACCGGCCCTGCTGGGAAAACATGTGGATCAAACAATCCTAGATTTATGAATGGTTAAGATAATAAGGCTAGCATTCAATTTCACATAATGGTAGGATCCTGTCCCCCTATCTAAAACCTGCTTGCTCACCCCAGACAGCACAGCACACAGCAAGTGCATAAAACGTACTTGCAGATAAACTTATGAAAATCCTTCAGAAGTGCCCTGTGCATAAGCAGCCCTGAGTGCTTCTACATAGTGTCATGCCCCCTTTATTGTTAGTCTGCCTCTTTTCCAGACTGGTCTGCCCCCCATCACTGCCCCATCATATGCCAATAACTCCCATCCCACGACTGGGCCTCCTAGTATTGGACGGTATGCACTCTAGTTTTAAACCTGGTTCCAATTTACTACTCACCTGCTGTACTCAGGGGTGTCGATAGGTTCCAGAAACACCTGGGGCTTGAGCCCAAAGGACAAACTAGATGGCCCCCTTCTCTAACAAAGAGGTGGGGATCTGTCATGGCATCTCCCTGTATGTTCTCTCCTCTCTGCCCATGAACACTGTGCTACTGATGCTTTCTTGGTTCTCAATGAAAACATTGCTGGAAACAAGAACATTCTGGGCAGCCAGGTATTCAATGCAGCCCGTCTCACTACCTAACTAAAGGGGTGAGCTTAAAAAAGTTCTAAATAAAAACACTAATATTGTGACAAACTCCCCTTTGCCAGCCTTTTGCCCTGTGACTATGGCCCCTGGGGTGTATTGCCGTTTAAGCACTCTATTTGGGCATTTTGGATTTTAAAACACTTTTTCTGCCCCTTTAAATCCATTGGGAAATGTGCCTCTTCCCCTCACCCTTTTTCCTGTCCTATTGTTTCCCCAGCAGGGCGTTGCCCCAGGGACACTGCCAGACCAGTTTAAACTGGCTGCTTTGTCCCTCCTCAATCTCCCATCAGCCCTTGCTATTTTCTGACCCCACCCTTCCTTGTACTATAGGGCACTTTTAACATTGGACATATTGAGCACTCAGGTCCAAACTATCTGGGGATATGTTGGACATATAAGTTAAACATTGTATTATATGAGTTATGTATTTTTATGTGATTTTTGTAACAGTTTTTGGATTTTGAGATATTTCCTGTACCTGGAGATAATTAAGTTAACACAGCCACTTAAGCCAATTATCTCCAGGATAGAGGAGAAGATAGACCGGCCACACAGCCTAAATCTGTGGAACTGTTTTGAGCATGAAAGCCCTGCTTGCAGTCGGTCAAATGTGACTTCCATAAAACTTTTGAACCCCTGCTCTGATCTGGATGATTTATGAATATGTTGTTCACCCAGATCAGGGCTATCCAGGGATGTAGGATTTATGGGGATATGTTTGTGTTTTGGGGTGTTTCTGGACTTTGGGTAAAGATTTATATTTTCTGCCTCTGGTAATTGAGTTAGTCCATGTAGTTTGTTAATTGTATCACAGGCAGAGGGGAGGGTTTGTGTACAGTATCTGGGAGTGTCTAATTATACAATATGGTTTTGATTGGCTTTTGTGTGGGTGTGTCCTGTGCTCCACAAGGTCCATGTGGGTGGTAACCTTGTGGGGAAAACTGTATATAGGAAATGTCTTTGTGCTCATTAAACCAGTTCTACTTCACCCTCAATTTAGAGTCCTGTCTCTTATTGGGGGGAATCTGCTACAAGGGATTGCTATGCTCTTCATACTCCCTTGCTATGATCACTAAGCTCTTCTAAGAGCTTGTTCCTGCTTCGCTCTCTGGGGAAAGAGAGGTTCACCCACTGGAACCTGGAGCCTTGTCGTAGGTCCAGGGTGGGTAGGAGACGACGAGACCCCAACCAAGCTGCGGCGGTTCATGGGGTCTGCAGTGCCTATGGTGTCAAGTGGAGTGCTAGGTGCGGTGCTGATGGTCCTTGGTAAACGTTAGGAGCATCTGTCAACGGAGGTACCCAGTCGGGGGGCCAGGTGATCCGTTACAAATATCATCATGTCTCCTCCACCAACTGCAGAGATTCCAGATTAAACACATATGATCTACAGATAGGCAATCCTTGAAATATTCTACCCTACAGTATATAGAATTCAAATGTAGGATTCGAAAAGTCTAATCATTAGAAATGTCTAATATATTAATATACGTATATCAGGTAAGCACCTTTCATGTGCTGCCTATAAACGACACAAGGAACTGATGTGATTCCCATGAAAACAATATATGATATTTCGACCCTAGCTGTCCTCCTGGCTGCGCAAAACAAAGACAATCTGATTGCTCGCACCATCTCTTTATTGTACAATAAAATAGAGACAGATTAGTAGTTTAACATTGCATGTACAGTAAGATCATTGGCTAAGTCTTTTCACCAAAATGATACGAGCACATAATTACTAATTGGTTGTCTGATAAAATAAGCAGAGAGAACAAAGACTGAACAAAACAATTCATTTAAACAAACGGGCAGAAAAAGTAATGTTATCAAAAAATGAAAAGCATTGACCTGCATGTCACTGCACACACAGGCAAGAAAGTGCATCTAATTCCCACTAATTGCTTTTTTTCCTTTACAGATAGAGTACTGGAAATATTATATTAAAGTGACTAATATCCCATTCACTGCAACAATTACCAGCCTGGTAATAGTTTAGTAAGATACTTTCGGTTACAGATAAAAACGAGTTTCTTTTTAAATCTTGAAACGCTGGAAATACAGAAATGAGTGGCAAGCGACTGGGCGGAAATATTGAGGTCAAGATGAACTGTTAGCGTATACATGTATTCAGGACCGCAAGTTCCCGTTTTCAGTTTTGTCTTAAAGGAACACTTTAGGCACCCAGACCACTTCAGCTCATTGAAGTGGTCTGGGTGCAATGTCCCTGTCCCACTTAGTCTTGCTATGTAAATAATTGCATTTTTTGAGAAACTGCAATAAATACCTTACAGAACTAAGACTGCCTCTAGTGGCTGTCAATCAGACAGCCACTAGATGCACTTCCTGCTTGTTAGGCGACTTTTGGTCGCCTAACTGACTCTGGACATCCTCACGCTCTGCATGAGGGAATCCAGCATCAGGTAAATCCCCATAAGAAAGCATTGCAGCAGTGACGGGGGAGAGGGGAGGCTATATTCAACCTGTTATCTAACGAGACATCAAGTCCTATTCAATGTCATACACTTCCAGATATATATATTTAGGAAACAGCATTATTTTAAAGAGGTCCTACTCCACCCACTGATGCTATTAATCAATTGCAGCTACACTTAGCTGTAGTGGTTAGAGTGCTTAGAATCCTTTAAAGATAAGAGTAATTTTGGTTTCAATCTTAGATTCTCCTTTCACAACATGTAAAAAAAGACATGTAACATCGCTTGACGATAAGGTTTGTTGATAAGCGTAGATAAATGAGCACTGGGCTCAAGATAAACATATTATATAAATAACTTCATTTTTGTCTTTCATCATTTGTATTTGTATAAAATAATATCTTGTGTGCAGTAATATTTTACTAAAGCAATTTGGAATGATGGAGTGATATGCAAATTTTTCCACTTGAGGTCAGTCGTATTGTGAGATTTGTTTGCACTGATCGCTAACTACATGTTTGCCCTGGGCTGTGTTTTTTAAATATAGAATGCTATTTATCTATTTTTATTCACTATCACAATTTGTTTAACTTTCCTGTCATAGCTAGGGTTTACCATGCAAATGGCAGTGGACCTCTAAATACAATAACCAATATAATCATTGGGTTTTTTACATCCCAATTTTGAAAACTGGGGCTCCCTCAGTACCAACGTTCCATCCCCTGGGCTTTACCGCTCATATAATGCGGATGTCAAACTTTCGCTTTATCCGCTCAACCCTGGACAGCGACAGGCTAAGATAGACTTCTTGTACCATAACCACTGCAATGAGCTGTAGTGATCACGGTGCTTTGAACGCATCACTCCCATATCGTACACTGGAGGAATGGTGTCTGAGCCAAAGACGTGACAAAGTGACAGTTCCTTGTTACATTTGTTATATATATTTATATATTTTTTTTTACACAAATGCAATATTTTCCAAAGGTTAAAGACAAAAAAGAAAACCAAACAGCAAATAATTACTCATAGAAGATAAACATAAATATAATAAATAAATGAAGACTTTTCTATTCAGATGGCTCGTACTGGTTTTAAAAAAAGTACATTAGTGTTACTGTATGCATTATAGTTAGACACAGATTTATGAGACATTGTTATAAAAACATGGGGCAATCACCTTGGCAACCATTGGAATGTTCGTGCCGATTGTTCCAATTCTGATATCCCCTCCACATAACCTGCATTTTTCACAGTCCAGTCAACACAACTCTCTCTCCTTCTACTGTACATGGCCTCCACTTGTTACTCTCATACAAATAACTAAACACAGTCATCCTATCCACCACCCTCTCATTCCTTCTTACACAGTTCTCATCATTTTGTGTTCCTTTTTCCTTTCCTCTTAGAATGTGAGCTTTTTGTCTCTGTCGACAGTAGTTTGTCTGCCAATGCTTGTTCTTTTATATCTCAAATGTATTACTGTAAAGCACTGTGGAAAATGTTGGCACTATATAAATGTTGATAATAATAATAATAATAATAATAATAATATCAATGCATTACGTCTACAGTTTCAAATATGTCCTCATGCTAGTCTTCTGATAGCTAGGAGGAAACCCATAAAGCCCAGGACCGCACACCTGGCATCTCAGTGAATTCTAATCCCACCATGGGGAGAAGAACAAGATCTATTATTTACTCTACACACTAACACACAGATACACACTAACATACACACACACTCAGATACACACTGACACACAGATACACACACTGACATACAGATACACACTAACATACACACACACTCAGATACACACTGACACACAGATACACACACTGACATACACAGACACACTAACATACACACACACTCAGATACACACACACTCAGATACACACTGACACACAGATACACACATTGACATACAGATACACACTAACATACACACACAGTCAGATACACACTAACACACAGATACACACATTGACATACACAGACACATAATTGTCTGTCCCTTCTTTCCAACTGACCGATACTGAAGATGCCCGACCGGGACCCTGTTCAGCGATAATACCCATTGGGTGGCCCGTAAATCATATACAATATCCTGGAAATCACACACACAATCTGAAATACATTGTTTGTGTGTGTGATTTCCAGGATATTGTATACGATTTGCAGTTGTCAGGGAACCACTATGAAAATGCGGGAGACTCACGGAACCTTTGGGAGAGTTGGAATGTGTGAGTAGTGTCATGTGAGATATAATGTCATATCACCACCATATCAAACAGCAAGTGTCAAACTGTGCCCACAGGTGGTGGAGGTAGCTTGCTCATTTGGGGCAGAATCTTGGCTAAGTCACATTTAAAATCCTTAGCTGGTTCAATCTGTTTCCATAGGGCATGGACTCTGCATTATAATTTTCCTATCTCCTCTCCTAAGAGTAGTTTAGTTGGTTAATGCTCCTGCAGTGGAAATCCGCGTGTAACTGGAAAGTCACTTGTTGAGTTACGACAAGATTCTGCTCCCATAAGGGGCTATGTAGAGTATTATTATTAAACTTACATACATTTAGATGGCTTATGGCTGTGTCCACTTGCTTTATTATGAAACCTATCTTTGCTACCTATGGCCTGAAAAAAATAGGAGGAACCATATTGCCAGGTCCCTGTCTTTCACATGGACAGTACATTTCATTAGAGTGTGCACGCAGATATATTTTTTTATTAATGAAAGGGCAATTTTTATTCCACAAATTACAAAAAATAGCTTTTTAAAAAAATTTTATTGCAAACTGAACACGTACTTAAACTACAAACTTCAAAATGTTCCATTAACTAATGAACATCATCCACAAAGATAAATTATAATCTTTATCTTAAACTGGATCACGAGCTATTCCAAAAAAGATGTATAAGCATCGCTAAAGAACTAAATATGGGACAGTGTGCCTTGCATTATGATGTGCCTGGGCACACCCCATGTGTATGCCAATTGTCCCTCCTGAGTAATAGGCTGTTTGAGGGACCCCAGTTTCTTTTATCCAATTATGAATTAATGTCTATTGGCTACTTATCCTGCCAGTCGTCATTTATTAACTCTGGAAATAGAATGAGAATCATCCAGAAATTCATCCCTGAGAGATCCTTGAACTACTTGGAGCACTTGCTGGGTCATTTGCGGGGTCATTTGTACTAAAGCAAAGATCACCTGAATCCGTTTGCAAAATTGTACAATATAGTAAGTTTAGTGAACTATCCTTGAATTTTTGCCTCTAGTTTTCCCCTCTATATCCTGCGTGCTTTTCTCCAAACTAGCCCTTGTACATTCAGACCATAGTGAAAAATTGAGTGATAAAGGCTGCAAGTTCTACGTTAGGGCAGCACTTTTCATTCAACAGCAGGTAGAACTCATATGAGAGAAAACACAGCCTAAGAAATAACTCTAATGCTCAATTGCCTAACCAGACTATCTTACCCAGACAGTGCCACTCTTAGCAAGTGTGCCAGTCTACAGCGTTATCCTTATTTATTTTTTAATATTGGTAACTATAACAATGTATATGAATGCATAAGATAAGAAACAAACAAAAAAAAACCCAAACAAATAAAACCAGAAGTAAAAAAAAAAAATGTAAAAAAAAATGACCACTTTAACATGATTGAGCACTGAATGCAATGTTACATTGTAATCCTTGAGCAAACAGGTCTAAATGCTTTGCTTGTGTCATGCGCCCTCTAGTGTTCGCTTAGCGTTATCGCACGCTCCGCCCATCAAAGTGCTGCGCAGGATGACGAGCTGGCCAGGTTGACCTCGTTACCTAGCAACGGCGTCTGAATCCTTCGGCTCGTCTTCCCGGCATGCCTCTGGAGGGCAAGATGGCGGCTGCCAGCTCTACTGTTGCCTATGGTGAAGCTGGTGGTTTGTTTTGCCAGTGAGTGAAGCAATGGAGGAATCGCCCGTGTTCCTGCTGTGCCTGACGGCCAGGAGCGGTGTGCCCCTGTACTGCAGGAGCAAAGGCAGCAGCAGGCAGGTAATAACCCCCTGCCAAGCATTCTGCAAAGACCTGACACACTATATTATTATTATACATCATTATTATACATTATACATTATTATTATTATACATTATTATTATACATTATTATTATTATTATTATACATTATACATTATTATTATACATTATACATTATTATTATTATACATTATTATTATTATTATACATTATTATACATTATACATTATTATTATTATTCATTATTATACATTATACATTATTATTATATATTATACATTATTATTATACATTATTATTATACATTATTATTATTATACATTATACATTATTATTATTATACATTATTATTATACCTTATACATTATTATTATACATTATTCTTATACATTATTATTCTTATACATTATTCTTATACATTATTATTATACATTATTATACATTATTATTATTATTATACATTATTATTATACATTATTATACATTATTATTATGATACATTATTCTACATTATTATTATTATTATACATTATTATTATTATTATACATTATACATTATTATACATTATTATTATACATTATTATTATTATTATACATTATTATTATACATTATTATTATTATTATTATACATTATACATTATTATTATTTTTATACATTATTATTATATTATTATACATTATTATTATACATTATACATTATTATTATACATTACATTATTATTATACATTATACATTATTATTATACATTATTATTATTATACATTATTATTATACATTATTATTATTATTATACATTATTTCACTCGCTTTGTCATTTTTATAGAGTGCTTTTCAATGCCAAGTTAAAGGGATTTTTAAAGTAATTTGTGACCCAGTATTTTTATTGCATTATGTATGGATAATACATTAAAGGAACACTATAGTCACCCAGACCACTTCAGCTCAAGTGGTCTGGGTGCCAGGTCCCTCAGGTTTTAACCCTTCAGATGCAAACATATCAGTTTCATTTGGGGTTAATCCAGCCTCTAGTGGCTGTCTTCCGGACAGCCACTAGAAGCTCTTCTGCATGCGCATTCAGCTCAGCTGACGTCGGACGGGGGAGCTGACGTCGGCGGGGGAGGAGAGGTCACCAGTGCCGAGGGAGCCCGGCGCTGGAATAAGGCAAATGGCTGAAGGGCTTTTAACCCCTTCAGCGCCACGGGAGGGGGACCCTGAGTGTGGGGGCACACCCAGGGCACTATAGTGTCAGGAAAACTGCGCGCATTCAAAGAGTCCATAGGAAAGCATTTCTCAATGCTTTCCTATGGACGCTCTGCGCGATGGATGCGAAATTCGCATCCAGCGTCGCAGATGCACCTCTAGTGGCTGTCGGGAAGACAGCCACTAGAGGCTGGATTAACGCCAAATGTAAACATAGCAGTTTCTCTGAAACTGCTATGTTTGCATCTGAAGGGTTAAAACCTGAGGGACCTGGCACCCAGACCACTTCATTAAGCTGAAGTGGTCTAGGTGACTATAGTGTCCCTTTAATGAAGCTGTTTTGGTGTATAGATCATGTCCCTGCAGTCTCACTGCTCAATTCTCAGCCATTTAGGAGTTAAATCACTTTGTTTATGAACCCTAGTCACACCTTTCTGCATGCTACTTGCACAGCCTTCCTAAACACTTCCTGTAAAGTCATCTAATGTTTATCCTTCCTTTATTGCAAGTTCTGTTTAATTTAGATTTTCTTATCCCCTACTATGTTAATAGCTTGCTAGACCCTGCAAGAGCCTCCTTTATGTGATTAAAGGATCACTATAGTGTCAGGAAAACAAATCGGTTTCCTGACATTATAGTGCCCTGAGGGTCCTCCCTCCCGTGGCGCTGAAGGGGTTAAAACCCCTTCAGTTACTCACCTTCTTCCACTGCCGGGCTCCCTTACCTCTCCTCCCCCGCCGACATCAGCTCCCCCGTCTGACTTCAGCGGAGCGGAATGCGCATGCGTGGCAGTGCCGCACGCACATTCAAAGTGTCCATAGAAAATTGATATGCTACACACACACACTCTAAAATACAAATAAACCCCATTAAAATATTAGCCATAAAAACATTTTCTAAATATATTTGCCAGTGAAAACCACCTATTTATGCCTTCATTGCCCATATTAACGCCTTATTCTGTTCCTTTTCAGTTCTGACATAAACTTGTTTCCCTGTTGCTAATCGCAGTTCACTTCCCTCTTGTTCCATACATCATAGCTCAAAATAGCAGCTTGCTTTATCACCTTTCGGAGAAGTAAGCTATACCCTGGCATGGTTGTTAAAACTTGCCTTTGGCCGCAGGGTGAAAGGGAAGCTGCCAGGGACTCTGGAAGTTCAAAAATTAAAACCCATGCCAGTAGTGTAAACCACAGTCACATGAAGTTTTATTTTTTCCAATCCAAGCAAGTGAGGTAGGTGCTACAGTACGTGTGATAAAACTTGCCATGTTTAGTAGGTCTATGTGTGGGAGAGGTAGAATAATGTTACTGCATGTGTTGTAATTATGCCATGCCAGCATATTTTCCAGAATGACAGGACGCATGGATGGTTGGCTGATCAGGGCTGCCCTAATGCTCAGCCTTGCTGTATTCAAAGTGCAGTTTGATCATGCACTTGTGCTGCATTTTGCCCTGGACCTGCCCCTCATATCACGCCGTGGTTTTTAAAAATACTAATTTGAGTCCAGCAAAGTCTGCACTTGATTAACCTTTGAGTGCCTGGTCCTTTCTCTTTGCTATATTCATTTCACCTTTGGTCAGGAGGCTGATCTTCCATATTGTACTGTTTTTCCCTGTAAATTAAAAACAAAACACAAAGCTGAGAGGGAAGCAGAAATTGGGGCAAGGGACAAACTAAGTAAGCAATGCCTGGCCTTTTTGACTGATCTTGAGGAACGTTCTCCCAGCACACCTTAGCTATATACACAGCACATATACTGGAAGTTCAGACCACATGTTTCCTGCGGATGGCTTTGCAAGGGGCCTTATGGGAAGACCCTGTAGCAGCGTTGCCACCTTGCCTGTGAAAAAGACTAGATGGCAGTGCCCGAAACTACTTGTCCCTGGTATCGTGCAATATAGATTTTCACTCTTGCACTTGTCGTCATGTAATCATTTTTATCACCGACCTCTGCCAAATCTACTGGTTAGATATAAAATGTGACAAAAGTGTTGTTTCTGTATTAGACACTGCACTGTTACCTATTTACTTTGAAGGTCAACAATACAGCATGGTAAATACTCAAAAAGTAAAAAAAAATACAAAACATAGTATATACGGTTTAAACAGGTGAATATAGTGAAAAGATAATAAATACCCTCACACTTTTCAGAGCCAATGAAATCTGGCTCTGGATACATTAGCATTTGGTATTTATGAAGTTCCACCACACCTCCTTATGGTAGGGACTCTGCTTTGTTGGATGCTCAAACAGATAAGAGATGCCAATAGTGCAGATGGTAATAAGACAGGAGACAAAAATAAGTATAAAGATAAACTCCCCTGGGGTGGAGCCACAGAATTGGGCTCATGATATAGGGGCTCTATTTTACAAGTGGTAAAATTCCCTTATAGTTTGAGGCTGGAACAGCAGGTAGAGGGCTATTTAACCTGACTGGTTACCTCCGCTAATTCCTTCTCTCAGCCAGACTGGAACCATTAAAGCATGCAGACATCCATTACCCCAGTAACCAGACGAAACATAGTTTGGGGAGCCAACTGATTTATTTCAGGCCACACACAGCTTTTATGCACAAACCCCTACCTGGTGTCTCCAACACAATAACACATGGATTGTATTCCCAGGATACTTGGTGCCTGAGAGATAATAACGTGAAAAAACTCCCCCATAATTCAATTATCTCTTAGGTACAAAAAATCTATACAAAATATACAATACCTCCACCCCAAAAAAGTTGTATACCCGCGTAGACCCTATCTGAGTGTATAACATATCCAAAGATCACTCAGATCGGTTAGGTGGAACTGGAATGCCACCGGGGTAAAGTTTTGACCGGGCGGACAGGAGGCGCTAGCCCAAAACAGTTCTAGGGAAATAGGTGTCCCTGGCCGGTCTCTGTTCGGGGGTTCCTGTGTGAACACTATGCAAGGGATTCTCTTAATTTTCAGGGTACGAATGCTCCTCCTGTTCGGTAGTTCCCATCTGCCGAACGTCGTTCTCATAGTTGGTCAGGAAGTAGAACAGGCATCAGTCTAATCCTTACCAGGTAATAGGTGGAGCTGTATAATGTCCTGTATGATCTGTAAAACAGAATAAATGCAAATAGCGTAGAATGTCTGTACAGATAAATACTATAAAAGTAGAAAAATGGTTATTTAGTATAAGTGAAGTCCTGTATAGGTTAAAAATGAGAGTGTCCATTTTTAACCTATACAGGACTTCACTTATACTAAATATTTATTGGTATAGTGTTTCTGTAAATTTTTAATTTTTACAATTATTCTACTTTTGATAATAAAGAAATATTATTTTCAAGAACAATCAGAATATCGAGCATTCCTTGGGGGATACTTAAAGGATCATAAGGAGGAGTATCCAGCAACCAACGACAGAAGGGTCTGGACAACCCCCCAATGGTCCAAAGGAACATACCTCTAGAGTCATATGACGGTATGACTCTAGTCTTGTGAGTTCAACCATTTTTCTACTTTTATAGTATTTATCTGTACAGACATTCTACGCTATTTGCATTTATTCTGTTTTAAAGATCATACAGGACATTATACAGCTCCACCTATTACCTTGTATGTACTGTTTTGTGTTTACAGTGGTGTAAGGGGTACCACTTTATAGGTGGTTTTAGAGCTATCTCACTTTCTCACACTGTGTACTATCTTGTTTTATATTATAATCCTTACCAGGGTTCGTGCAAGTGCATAGCCGAAAAGCGTTCCAGGCACTCGACGACCAAGTACCACTGCCCACGTTCGGGAGTAAAAATGGTCACCACTCTTTTGTCAACCACGTGCATTCGGTTATACGAAACGGCGGCCACCCAAGGGAAGCATTCATTACTTACTTCCCTTGCAGTTTCTCACTTAAGTTACTAGGTGAGAACATTCTAATGGGGTACCAGGTTGGTCCTCGTTCGGGAGTTAAATGCAAAGTGTTCGTATATTATAACTCCCGAACGGAAAAATATGAAACACAAATCCATACGAATTTGACGGTAGATTTCGCCACAGTACTTTATTATCAAATCAAAAGTAAATTTATGGTTTGCAAGCCTATAAGTAAAAACAATAAAAAAACAATTAAAAACAAGTTATACCAGTGTAAAAAAGCCAACAGAGTGCCTTTGAAACGCGTTTCGCTACTTTATCCCAGCTTCCTCAATTGCTGTTAGACCCGTCTCCCCATTACTATTTTTAAATCTCCCCTCTGACATCTTCGACTTTTGGCAATGCACCTTAAAGGGTGTATATTCAGTACGGCTTGTCATTTCATTGGTTAGGCTGCTGCCTCACCATATCTCTGTAACAGGAAGATTTATCCATGCCAGTGATCAGTCCACTCTGTTACGATATCCGGAACTTGAAAACTGTCAAAGTTCATTACCTAAAACACCTGTGTTGAACCAAAGAAATGTTGTTGGAGCTCTGTAGGAACAATACATGAAACAAGCGTTTACATGAATGGAAGATTGTCAATAAAGTAATGTAGACACTGTACAGTAGGCAATAAAAATGTCGTATTCGTTTGATTTCAATAGTCATTGCAGTTTTTTTTTTCTTCAAATACAACTTTGACGCATTTTTCTATTAGAAACTCTATAAATCTCCCCCACGTAACAGTGTTTATGTCTTTGCGTGTGTGTTTTCAAACTGGTATCAGACCCCCAAAATCTGGATTTTCACATGTATGTTGCCCCGTCACATGAATATTTTCACTTCAAGCCTCCCAATAGTCATGCATTTGGTGGGACAGTCCCAATTTCAGAGTCTGATTCTGATTTTGTTCCCTGGTATCTCATGGAACTATCCCCATTCAGCACAGTGTGAGTCCATCGTTAGATGCACTTGTGCTGAGGACACTAAGACCATGCCAAGAACAGTTTGACCTCTTACGACCACCGACCACTGCTCACATCTACTTCTGTGCTATCCATTAGCATGAAAAGTCATTTGTGGTCAGGAAAATATGGCGGATCCAGATATCTTAAAACATTGCAGATTTATTTTTTATTTTTTTGACACTGCATTTTTTCCCCTGTGTGTCTTTCCATACATTAACCAGCAGGTGTCACTGTTTCAGTGCGCAATTTTTATTGTAGTTGCTCAGGTGTGCCATTTAATTCATGCTTATTTCTACTTCATATTTGAATTACAAATCAGAAACATTTTTCTTTTATAAATTATGAAGTAGACCTCTTGTTATTCATAGAGAATTAAGGTAATTTTTAGGGGTCATGTAGGGAAGCAGCGGCCAAAAATATAATACTAATAAAATTTTTTAAATAATTTATAGTGTCAACATCCCTCTTATATTCTATGGTCCGTGTTGAATTAAAACCTAATCAGGTTGGGGTCCCTTGATCCCAGGCGACATCTAGATGTGGGTGCATTTTGCCACCCCAATCTGAATGAATTTCTGCTGGGAGACAATTCTTGTTATTTAGGGTGAGATAATTCTGTTCCCCGGTAAGGCACCCCTAACAGGAACACATTAGTGATCCCCTTGTATTGCTTGCACACCAAACCCACTTCTCTGTTCCAACTCTTTCAGACTATTGCTGCCCACTATTGCTGGAATGATTTGAGATGGTTTAAGGCTTACGTAACGCCAACTTGGCCATTTTGTTAGAGAGGGCCCCTAGGCTGCTGGTGCACTGGAACACTGATCCGTTGGTAAACTATTTGGAAACCGTTTCATAATGAAAGGGGACAACACCTGTGGACCCCCCTAACTAGTTTAATACGTTGAACTGGTTGTGGTGCCTAGAGTGTCGTTTTAAGAATCACTGCCCTATTTTCTCAAGTATGTATTTCATTTCACTTTAACATTAAAATTGTGTCTCTTTCTGCTTTTCTTACTCTGTGCCATGTATTTATATCTTTACTTATACCTTGAGCATGTTTTTCGTTGTGTCTATAAATGTATTTATTCTCTTATCCCTGGGATATTTAAGGGGAATATCAAGTCAGTGCAGTGAAACAGTACTAGAAAAACTCTCCAAGTTCATTATTTTGTCAGTCTGGCTAATTTTGCCTTAAAAAAAAATGTACCAGCAAAAAAACGAGAAACGATATGAATGTTTCCACGTTTTTTTTTTTTTGTTTGTTTGTTTGTTTGTTTTTTTGTCGTATGCCCCTCTCTCTCTTTTATTTATTTATTTATTTTTCGGATTTTCCAGTTGAATTTTAATTGTCTGGCCAGTTTATCAGTTTGCAGTTTGGCTAATTTTGCTTTGAATTTGAAATTCTCTTTGAATTGCTACGAACTCATACTTTATTGAATATCCCTGTCTTTAGTTTGTCTTCTTTGAAGTGAAAGTATGTAGGTGTGTGCGTGTGTATCTGTCTCTTTCACCTTTGCACTCAGCATTCATGTGCAGTATTAACTCTGATACTTTTTCAAAAGAACATGAACCTGTTAACCTAAAATCTAGCAAGTAGAGCAGCTCTATACAAAATGCATAGTGAGAATGTCCACAGTTTGCAACCTGACAAAGGTAATTGGGAATCAGATGAATGTAGACTGAACTGATTAGAGTAATACATAACTTTTATCAAGTAATATTTTACAGCAGTGGAACCACAGTCTGAGAGCTAACCTGCTGTCAGTGCAATTGATGATTTAATGGATTTACACTGATAATGCTAAAGTGCAAATTCCTTATCATTGTAGCTACAGAGGGGACGCCTGCTATGGGTGCTAGGGAGAGAGCTTTTTTTGTCAAATCACTCTGTCAGTTTGACAGAAAAACAATGGATGATGCAATGAGACTCATCCATCGCATTATAACCACTACAGCGAGCTTAGAGTGTATGAGTTTAAATTACCTTAGTGTCTGACTCATCCTAAAAATGTAATGAAATATATAGCAAAATGAAGGATATGGATCTCCAGGGCACTGAAAGCGCTATTGTTACCAGCTGATAGTGGCATATGCCTGGGGTCAGATCAATATGATGCGCTTTCAACTATGAGGGACCCATTAAAAGAGTGATTTGGGGAGGGCATATATTGGATCCTGACCTAGGGGTTAAGAACTGACATCGAGTGTGATAATTGTGAGCTTTCTTGATAAGAAAGGAACACTCCAAGCACCATAACTACATTAGCACACTATGCTGGTTGTGATGCTCGGAGTGTTCCTTTAAGGCAAAATTGATAACTAAATTCATGTGAATGTTAACAGTTCATTTTGACGTCACTTTTCTATTTTGATTGATTGTTTTTATTTTTTTATTTTTTTTACCAATGAACCACATCTACTTTTGCCTGAAGTACTGGGTAAAATCTTTCAGCGTTTATTCATTCTCCTCACCTGTTAAAACTGACAGAATACACAGTGCAAAGTGATCCATGGTGATTTCTTTTTTCCGTTCCGTATTTTCCAGCTGACCTTTTCCGTTATTGGATCATTGAATGGCGTCCACATGTTTGCCAATAATCAGAATGTTCTCCTGACCTCAACTTGTACAGAGAACACTAAAGTAGTGTGGAGAGCCTTTCATGACAGGTGAGTGAATGATCACGGTAATTCCGGTTAGGTGGAATGCTTCACTAACGCTATTATTGATGTAATGTGCATCATTTGCAGAGGAGTTTCAAGAACCTTTATGATTTAACAAACAAAGATTTAACCCCATCGGACCAATCACATTTGCTGTCCTCACACAATTGCCCCTAAACACACTCTGCCAGCATGGGATATCCACATGTCGAGCATTTAAAGTTCAGCTCTCATTAATTGAATGGGATATTCCAAGTTCGAATCATTTATTTATAAAATATTTTACCAGGAAGTGTACATTGAGATTTCTATAATTTTCAAGTATGGCCTGGACCTACAAATATTGCATTATCAAAGTAGGGTACAAAATAATAATAATAATAATAATAATAATAAAAAAAAAAAAAAAAAAATATATATATATATATATATATATAAAAAAATAAAATTAAATTATAACATATATAAATTTAACACATAACCGGTAATAAATATAGTCAACCATGTCAGGTGCATTCTGTATTTAGGTATGTTGCCATAGATTTTAGATTGAATGAAGATTTGACTTTGTCCTCGAGGTTGTTCCATATTTGCGGTGCTCTGTAGGAAAATGAGGATTGACCCACTTTTTTTATTTTTTATTGTGTGTATCATATCTTTAACCCCTGAAGGACACATGGCGGACCCAGCCCGTCATGCTGGGTAAGCTCTAAAGGTCCGTCATGCGCTATAATTAACCCCAGATCGCCGTGGTGATGGTGATTGCATGGTTAATGATGTTGCTGGGTTCTTCTGAGTCAGTGGCAGACCCAGCCCATGTGATCACTGTAACAGCCAGTCACAGTGATGCTGGGATATCAGAACCGCTGCCCTCCACCTCTGTTGGGTTTTCAAACTACAGATCACAGTACCTTACAGTGTTCTATTTTATTTTAGTTTTTACTTTTTTTTTAACCTTTAGGGGTTAAATTTGATTTTTTTTTTGTAACCTTAAGGGGTTAAATTGTAATATTTTATTTGATCAATTTTACATTTGTGATTTAGTTAGTTGCGGTGTTTGGAATTTAGTGGGAATTGGGGAATTTAGTGAAAAGCTAGTTAGAATGAAAAGTAAAAAAAATAAAGTTTAATTATAGTTAAAGTTTATTAGTACACAATGTTTAGGAAGTATAGCACAGAGGAGGCTTATGCCCTGTTAGCTGCCTACTCAGAGGCGACAGACACTGCCTCAGAGAGGGACGCAGGGGACAGGGACTATGTGCCAGATACTGCAGGGCCATCAAGAAAAAAATTATTCCCCTGATGCTAAACATGGCGCAGATGACTGGGTACCCCCTAATAATTTTTCACCAGACATCCCAGAGTTCACTTCCAATCTTGGCATACAGGCTGACCTGTATGGCTAGAGTGCGCTGGATTGTATGCAGCTGTTCTTGGTTGATGATATTTTTAAGGGAGCTAGTCACCCAGACTAATCTGTACGCTGAGCAGTATCTGCACACAATCAAGAATCTCTTATCGCCAGGAAAGAGTGATGGTACTCCACCAGTGTGCCAGGGATAATATTCAAGAATTCCTTGAGAAGAACATGGTTATCAGCAAAAATCGGCATGGTTTTATGAAGCACAGGTCATGTCAAACTAAGTTGATTACGTTCTACGAAGAAGTAAGTAGAAGTATAGATCAGGGTGTTGCAGTGGATGTGATCTATTTGGATTTTGCCAAGGCATTTGATACAGTTCCTCTGCACCATATCCGCACAAGCGGGGATTGTACCGCTGTACGCTGTCCATACAAGAGCTAGCTATAGCTCTTACACATGTGAGTGCACTACCGTCTTCTTTTTATCTTTTATTTTACCCTATAGGATATATTGCACTATTTTATTCTATCTTTTGTCTTTATATATTATTGGATTTGTCCGGGGAAGACTCATGTGGACAATATCCCCGACCAAGCACGTTAAAGACCAATTGACCTAAAGAAAGAACTATCAAGTTAAGACTTTTTTGGGATACACTATTGTTATCCTATTGTATTTATTTTGTGTGGAGCAGCCTCTTTTGTGTATTTTCTCTTCATTTGATACAGTTCCACACAATAGATTAGTGTTCAAACTCAAGGGAATTGGTCTAGATGAAAATGCTTGTTCTGGTGTGGAACGTTGGCTTAAAAATAGAGTACAAAGAGTTGTCTTTAATGGTAAATTTTCAAGCTGGAAAGAGGTGGCAAGTGGTGTCCCTCGGGGGTCTGTTCTGGGACCCCTTCTGTGTAACATGTTTATAAATGATCTTGAAGAAAGCATTGAAAGTCATGTTTCAGTGTTTGCAGATGACCCAAACCTCTGTAAAATAATACAATGTGAGCAAGATATTACTTTGCTGCAGAGGGATTTAGATAGACTGGGGGACTGGGCACTCAAATGGCAGATGAAATTTAATGTTGAAAAATGCAAAGTTATGCTGTTCTACGTAAAGAATACACAAGCAGCGTACACCCTTAATGGAAGCGAATTAGGCATAACAACACACGAAAAGGACTTGGGAATTGTTATAGACAACAAACTATGCAACAATGTGCAATGTCAATCAGCAATGGCCAAGGCCAGTAAGGTATTGTCATGCATGAAAAAGGGCATTCATTCTCGAGATGAAAATATAATTGTGCCTCTTTATAATTCATTAGTAAGACCACATATTGAATATGCTGTGCAATTTTGCGCACCTGTTCTAAAGAAGGATATTATGGCACTAGAAAAAGTGCAGAGGCAGGCTACAAAATTAATAAAAGGAACGGAACATATCCGCTATGAAGAAAGGTTAACAAATTTAAACCCATTTAGTTTAGAAAAACGTCACCTGCGAGGGGATATGATAACATTATACAAATATATTCGGGGCCAATACAAACCATTGTGTGGAAATCTATTCACAAACCGGACTTTACATAGGACACGAGGTCATTCGTTTAGACTGGAAGAAAGAAGATTTAGTCTAAGGCAAAGGAAAGTTTTTTTTTTTTTTTACTGTAAGAACAATAAGGACGTGGAATTCTCTGCCTGAAGAAATGGTTTTATCAGAGTCCATACAGATGTTTAAACAGCTACTAGAGGCATACTTGCAAAAACAGAATATTCAAGGATATAATCTTTCAATGTAGGGTAATAACTGCTTGATCCAGTGATAAATCTGACTGCCATTCTGGGGTCAAAAATAATTTTTTTCCTAGCTTGTTGCAAAATTTAAAGTGCTTCAACAGCAAAAACAGCAAAAAACAAATGTGAGGAAGGCTGAACTTGATGGATGCAAGTCTCTTTTCAGCTATGTAACTATGTAATTGAAACAATTCTGTGCACTGACAATGCTAATGGGGGTAATTTAAAAGCCCACCATTAGAATGTACTGGTTTAAAAACCTCATTTGCAAAACCCCAATTTTTTTCCCAGACAATGAGTAGGCCCAGATATGAAGACAAAATGCGATTTATGCACTTTAGTGATAATACGAACCACCCCCCAAAAGGTAATCCACAGTATGATCTTCTATATAAAATATGCCCTCTAATTGCCCACTTTAGTAAAAAATTTGCCACTAGTTATACCCCCAAAAAACATTTCTGTTGACGAATCCCTTCTGAAGTATAAGGCGCCAGTCTGCAGAAAACAGTACAATCGGCATATAGGGGAAGTTGACCTGTCCAATCAACTGATGCAGCCGTATATGATTATGCGAAAGACCAGGGCATGGTACAAAAAATGGGCATATATATATATTTAAAAAGGCAAATTCTGAGCTGAAATTAATGTTTCTTGCATTTCAGTTTCAGTTAATTTCAGAGCTGCTTGAGTGCCACAGAGGGGGACCATCGGTGGAGCCTAGCAGAAGAATTGAGGCAGGTCACTTCTGCTTCAGGATTCCATCAACCCCCAAAAAGAAAAATCCCCAGAAAAGATGCAGGGTGTGTTACAAGAGGGGCGTAAGAGCTGAGACCGGTTATTACTGCCCTGATTGCCCCTCTCAGCCCGGCCTATGTATTGGCGAATGTTTTAAAATTTTCCACACCCAGGTCGAATAAGTAGACTGGTTTTAGGGTGTGATTTTAGCCATGCGGGGGTATCAATATGTATATAGTTTATATATTTAGTTATTGTAAGTTAAAGATGCTGAGGAAGTTCAGGCCAAGGAGGCTTCCAAAGTTCTAAACGCTGACTGACTATTTTATTATTTTTATTTTGGTGATTTAGTTAATTTGATAAGGGGCATGGGGCAGGGGGTGGATGGTGGTAGTTAGTGGGAAGTTGGGGGGTTTAGTGTTAAGCTAAGTTAGGGGTTATAAAAAAAATAGTCTATAACATTAGGTAAAGTTCTTGTGTAAAAAGTTTAAAATGCTTAGAACCTTCGGTGCCAAGGAAGCTTTCAGAATTTTGACAGCGGACTCAGAGGTGACAGGCATCGTGTGAAGTAGGTGACAGTGGCGATTAATTTTTGACCCGAATGCAGCAGTGACACACGATTCCCCTAGCGTTGCCCATAACGCAGATGACTGGGTATTACCCCTTGATAAGTTAATGCCAAAAATTCTCCCTTTCACAGCAAATAGTATGCACTTGTTCATAATTTGAATTGATGAGCTGCTTATATTTAAAAATAGATGTGGTCTTTTAGAGGTAATTTGCAATCATGAGCTGCTAAAATGAGAAACTGGTGGGTCTCAAACTTTCCCCTTCAACATCCATATACACCCTGGGATACCTACTATAAAAATGGTAGGGTTTTGTAGGGTAGTTTGAGCTAGCAACTTGCTAAAATGCTCAAAAATAGGACGTGGACCCAGCATCAAAATTTAAAGTTTGAAAAAACCCTGAAATGGCTGTGTATCAAATTTGCCCCTTCAACATCCACATATACCTGGAAAATGTACTCATGGAGGTATTGCTGTACTCAGAAGACATAGCTGAGCACTCATAAGGGTTGCAAATTATGCCGAAAAATCTCAAAGTGTGTGTCAAAAAAGCTGATAAAATGCTTATTACCACTACACTTGGTACGAACTACCTAAAAAATTATCCAACACTAAAGTTCAAAATATGCTAATTAAGATACCCTGAGGTGTCTTCCATAAGAAATGATAGGTCTTTGTGGGTTAGCTTTAACATGCAACCTGCTAAAATGCTCCAAAATTGGTCTTGGACCAACCAATATCATTTATGAACATTTTTACGCTTAAAATGCTTAAATGGTCACATCTTTAGAAAATAGTGTCTAGGTCATACATTGGGGTATTGTTTTATTCAAAAGATGTTGCTGGGCATAATTTGGGGGATTTTATCACAGTGGCACACATATGATTTACAAAATACTCATCAGAAATGCCACGTGTATGTAAAAAAATACAAAATATTATTTTACCACAAATATTGACAAACTGGTGAAAAAATGGTGATGCGTTAAGGCACAATATACACCATATGAGATACCCTGGAGATACCCTACTTTCACAAATGGTAGGGCTTCATGGGGTAATTTAAACAGTGAAACTGCTACAATGCTCTAAAATGAGACACAGGCCAAAAATCTTATCTATGAAAATTCACACTTAAAAAGCTGAAATGGTGTGATCTCTTATATGACTCTGTAACTTCACAAAATAGTGTCTAGGTCAGTCTAGGCCTTAATGGGGTTATTGAAATGGTCAAACTGCTATAATGCCCAAAAATGAGATATAGGCCCATCAAATCTATCTATGAGAATTCTAACTGTAGAAACAGAAATAGCCAGATCTCGTATATGACACTGTATCTTCACGAGACAGTGGCCAAGGCATACATTGGGGGTATTGTTATGCTCGGAAGATGTAGCTAAACACAATGTAGGGTTTTGTACAGGAATAGCCCACATCAGGTTTACAAAATACACATAAAAAAAACGTGTTATATGTGTGCATGTTAAAAAACAGAAAAAACACAATTTTACTATAATATCTAGCAGAGATTGGCGGTTAAATGGCTATGTAAAAAGTGTCAAAAATGGTAATGGTAAATATCCTGAGATGTCTACTTTATATAAATATATACTTTTGTGTGGCAATTTTGTTTTCCGTGAAGACCATTAAGCTTAGAATACAAACATACCATATTTTAAAATTGTTCCACATTGAAATTATATTTTACTCCTTGTAGTTTGTGACCTGTAACTACCAAAAAATACTAAAATCGTAGACATATTATGTACTCTGTAAATCAGGACAAATAAACAAATGTATTTTGAATTACTTTTCTTAAGCTGTACCAATTATGTAAACAGTATTATTGCCAAAACTGAGAAAAACTAAAATTTCATTTTTTCTTACCTTTTTGTAATTTTTTCATAAATTAGAATTTATATATGTATATGTCACATCAAATTAAAGCCTGTTTTGTCCTTTAAAAAAAACAGTATATAATATGTGTTAGTGCAATAAATGAGAGAGATGCAAATTGTGGGTGAACACAAACTGCAAAACAATTACCGTATATACTCGTGTATAAGTCGATCTCATGTATAAGTCGAGTGCAGTTTTGTGACCAACAATTGTGAAATATGCTATGCCTCGTGGATAAGTCGAGGGTAAAACTTGGGGCTATGAAATTCTGTGATTTTTATAATTATATACACACACACTCATACAAACACACACTCTGCATTAAACACACACACTTATACAAACACACACTCTGCATATATACACACACACTCATACAAACACACACTCTGCATTATATACACACACACACTCATACAAACACACACTCTGCATTATATACACACACTCTGTGTATATAATGCAGAGTGTGTGTTTGTGTAGTGTGTGTGAACTGGGTGGGGGGAGGGCATTTTTATTATTTAATTTTTTAAATTTTTTTTTTAATATTATTATTTTTTTTATTATTTAAAACATTTTTGTCCCCCCTCCCTGCTTGTTAACTAGTCAGGGAGGGGGGCTATCTTAATCCCTGGTGGTCCAGTGGCAAGGGCTGTGAAGTGGGGGAACCTAGCGGGAAGCATTTACTTACCTTTCCTGCAGCTCCTGTCAGCTCCCTTCTCCTCCGTTCCGGTCAGCTCCACTGTAAGTCTCGCGGTCTGGTTGCCGCGGGATCGTTGCCATGGCTCTGACGGCCGCGGCTCTCTAAGTTGCAATAATACAGACATTGACTCGAGTATAAGTCGAGTGGGGGTTTTTAAGCACAAAAAATGTGCTGAAAAACTAGACTTATACTTGAGTATATACTGTACTTGTGTCCTTAAGTGAAAGACAAACGTCTGAAGCTGTGTCCTTAAGGGATTACGGATCAAATGAGTAAGACCACCACGTACATTGTGTGATAAAGTGAAGGCAGATAGGCCTATAACATTTAACACCAGGGGGAGTACGTGTTGTAGGCAACACAAACCAAAGTTAAGTTATGGGCCCCTGGGGTGAAGCATTTGGAGAGCAGGATGGACCAAAACTGCTTCATTAAAGGGACACCGTAGGCACTGTATCTGCTTCATCTCATTAAACTGGTTATAGTGTCTGGAGTCCCCTGGTACCATCATTTCTTTCAGCATTAAACAGTTTTTAATGTTGTAATGTTTTAATGCTAAACAAGAGTCCACGGCAGTCCATCCCCTCTGTGCTGCTTTGGCTAATAAGGAAGTATTACCCTGACAGGCAATGGGCAGCTGTGATTGGCTGAGTGTGTCAGCTGACTGCTTTTAACCTGTCAGAGCTCCAACTGACGGTATGAATGGGTATGACAACAAGGAAGTGTGTAATCTCTGCCTTAGCTACACATACAGAAGGGGCCGGACTGTGGGTGGCCAGGGACTCTTATTTTGTGGCATACTGCACAAACATGGTGCAACACTGAATGGAGGGACAGTGCCAGGCCACTCCAGGCACTATAACCAATTCAAAAAGACAAAGTGGTTATAGTGACTACAGTGTCCCTTTAAGCTAAAGTTGTTCATGTGACTATAGTGTCCCTTTAAGGCTGGCTTGGAGCACTGGGAGTGCAGAAAGGAAAGCAGTTTAGGCTGGCTTGGAGCACTGGGAGTGCAGAAAGGAAAGCAGTTAAGGCTGGCTTGGAGCACTTGGAGTACTTGGAGTGTAGAAAGGAACGCAACAGGCTGACTAAGCACTGGAGTGCAGAGAGCTGACAAAGACACTAGGTTGGTGAAACCAATATTGTTTTGTTCTAGTTTAACCCCTGAAAGATAGGGAACCTGATGTAAGTAAGTGCTCAGACGAGCTAGGTTTTTGTTTATAGGGATTTGTTTTATATTTATGTTTTCATTTGCTGCTGTCTCCTGTGTGGACTTACAAATAAAGTGCCTGGATTATATGAAAATAAAAGGACTGTGCCTGTTGTTTACCCTAGAGGTCCGTGCTATCTGCAAACAAGGATCACAATTGCTTTTTATCCTTATAGGGGTTAATTCACTAGCCATTGAAATTCTGGTGAACTAACAAAATGGCAGGTTATTCATTTCAAATTGCATAATTGCAGTGTTGAATTTTATTTGTGCATCACTGTAATGCTGTTAGGTATTTTACATTGTGTAAGCCACAATGGTCTCTGGAAAGACCTGCAACTCTTTTGTCTGTCAGACTGTGCTCTGCATTGTCCTGAGCCGCCGACTAGACCTGTACACTGGTAGGTCGTGGCAGGGAATGCCAAGCATGCCCATGCAGAGTGTGAACACTGAACACAATTTAACAAAGCAAAACATATTAGCTGAATTTCCATTTTGTATGCTTGTCCCATTGGTCATATGGCATAATGATTGCATCTTGAGCAATACATTTAACTATTGTCTCTGAATAACTATTTTCTTTGATTGCGATGTGCTGCTATTTCTAACTGAATAAAGTTTTAAATTAAAAAAATAAAATAAGTAATAATCACCTGACTATTGCTTTCAGTGGATGTTATTGTGCTCTTTGCGGTGTATCCAGGAGTAGCACCCGTTTGTTTAAATGGAGAACTACTGACTGTGCCATAGTGAGCCCTTTTTAACAAACAAAACTCACGTAATTTTACACATTTACTGCAGTATACTAAAAAGATGAATATTAATTTCTACATAACGTAATATATAGAAGCTGTTTTATCAGTGCGTCACTGTTACACCTTTATGCTTAAATCCTGTAATATTCATTTTAACATTAGTCCTGCTGTGTGTCATATTCACATAGCTGATTAGATATAGCCAAAGTAGCTAGCCCGGTTTGAACTAATGTTGTTGCATCTGTTTGATAAGGTTTATTTAAAAATGTAAAATTCTGCTTTTAGAAGTGGTCATGGAAGAAGGAATCTGTATGTAGAGTGATTCTGCTTGAAATGCTGTACATACTGAGATATTTGTGCTGTGGACAAGTTACACACCTGGCACATGTCTTGAGCTCTGTTTTAGGCTGCCAAATGTCAATTCTGTGCAAGATTTGCATCTGTTGTTCGTGCCCCTGACCCCATCTCACTACAGCCTTCTTGCCTTCTTACGCCTTTTTATTTTTTTTGTTTAAGTTCTGTCCCTCCCTCTCCCATGCGCTCTGTCTGTTAAACTATTCAGTCAAAAGCTCCTCTATGAGAAGCCATTGAGTGGGGCTCCGACTGCCACTGTGACATCAGAAGGGGGCGTGCCAAGCAGCACCTTAAGCTTCGCCTGGCACTGGATTTGAGGTGAGTTATCAAATTTTTTTTGTAATGTTTGCATTTAAAAAAAATATATAGATCATTAGAAAGGGTTGGAGTAACCGTTTAAGTACAAGTTGTGATGCTTTCTCATTATATTCATGTTTTTTTTAGCATCACATTAATTGTTATGTCTTCTGAAAAGAATGCCAGTGACTTGTCGTTACATAAACTACTGGAAAATGTTTTTGGGGCCATGGTAAGTTCATTTTTTTACAAAAATCCTTAAATATATTTTATATGTAGTCTGCTGTCTGTCTATTCCTGTGCTACCTACAAAACAAATAAAAATATTCCCATCACCTAGACGATCAGCTCAAACACAGGGTACTGTCCCCAAACATGGCACGCCTTATATTTCCTCACTATATTGTAAACAGTCCAGATTTGGGACCCCCATTTACCACCTCTAATTTTTCTCTGAGGCTCTGCTTATGGGAACATAGCAGTCCAGTCCATACAAAGCACATCTTAAGGCATATTGCTGCCCAATCCTGCCCTTTAGAAAACGGTGCTGGGTGACATATCTGTGTAAATCCTAGCAACATATTGCGCGTTTATAGCATGCCTTCGTCCATCCTGTTTTCATACCTCTAATTGCTCAGAGGTGTGCAACGATTATGAAAGCCATAGACAAAAACACCCAAGTAATGCTTTGGAAATGCATAAAAGATTTGTGCAAAAATTAGTTTCAGCTGGTTTATGCAAATTAAATTCCTTTTAATCCACACTTGAACAAATTGATTTGTCCAGGATTTACCTGCAGAATTGCATTGATTGAATAAGACTACCACAAGTAAATCCTGTACAAATGGATTAGTTTGGGTGTGAATTAAACGGAATTTGATTCAGACGAACCGGCTGAAACTATTTTTGCACAAGTCTAGTACATAAAGCTATCCTGAATGATAGACAGACAGACAAGCAAAGGCAAGGAGAATCTGTATCAGATTAAAAATTGCTAAATAGTTGTGAATCATCCCAGATTATACAATCTTTCAATCTTGAGATGCGGTATAACTAATTTAGATGCAAAATATGGAGCTTTCATAACATTTGTGGCTTTATATTTAAAGGGACACTATAGTCACCAGAACAACTACAGCTTATTGTATTTGTCCTGGTCAGTATAGTCAGTCCCTGCAGGCGTTTTCATTTAAATACTGGCTTTTCAAAGAAAAGGCTGTGTTTACATTGCTCCCTGGGGACAGCATGTCAGACATCCTCTAGAAGTGCTTCCTGGGTCAGAGCTGCACAACGTGCAGCACTGACATTCAGCATCTCCACGCATGGAGACCCTAAACTTTCCCCATAGAGTTCCATTGATTCAATGCATGTCTATGTGGAGATGCTGATTGGCCAGCATGGTGTTTGGCGCGGCCTCCTATGGAAAAGCCTTGGATTGGTTGAGATTGTCAATTCTGATGATCTCAGCCAAGGAGGCGGGCCTTCCAGAGCTGGAATAAAGGTGAGTTTTTATCCTATTTTAGGTAGGCATTTATGGATGTGAACATTAAGGGCAGAAGGGCAGGCTCTCTATACTCCAAGCCTTTTCTGCTCAATCTTTATCTGTTGACAGGAAAGCTTGGACTGTAGGCACACACATTGTTACAAATATTGTTTGTATGTTTATCAGCTTTTCCAAATATGTGAGCGTACATTTTGGGAAATGCCAGTAAATAGCTAATAGTGAATGCTCTGTTCCAGAACCAGTGTTTACCTAGAGATTCTGCATGTGTGTATTGTTTTTACACTCAGTGTAGAGTGTGATGAAATGTGCGGGTGCTCATATATGTGTGTATCTGTGAATGTAATGTCTGTTTTTATTCTTTTCCTGACGCAGGTTCTAGTGATTGGTTTGGAGGAACTAACAAATATAAAAAATGTAGAGCGGTTAAAAAAAGACCTTAGGGTAAGTGTTATATAATGTTTTAGAAAAGGGGGCAATTAATGTAATATTTAGCTTTTTTCATTTTCCTAATTCCATCATATAAAGGGACATTATCAGCAATTCAGTTTTAAATTTTAGATTCTTAAGAATAAGACACAATTACCAAGCATAACTCGGAATCTTTTTATTCAGTGTTATATAGTGAGTTTTAGTATGTGGACTGTTATTCATGCACTTACAGTAGATCTGTTGTCTCCACAGTCTTGCTACAAGCTGATCGACAGTTTCCTAATGGAAAATGAGAATATGGGAGATCTAACGCAGTGTGTTGATTGTGTTATCACTAATGACTTGGCCATACTGCAGGTTAGTGCAACAATTGAGTGAATGTTCACATAAAGGTCAAGATTCAGTTCTAGCAAAACTATTATTGCCAAAGAGATAAAACCGGTAAGATATCTACAGGTATATCTAAGAAAAGTAGTACATTTCTGTACAAGCTTTGTTTAGTAAGTATTAAGTAAAGCTATGCAACTCTCATTGACCTCTACAAGTAATACAGTCAGATATGCATGAAAAGCAAGTCGTTAAAGCAGCTTTTTTATGGCATACTTCCCTTCCCTCAGTTGATTCCTCTTTTTTTTCCTGTCTCTAATTCCATTCTTCTCTTTTTCCGAAAATACATAAGACAAAGTAGGGACTACTTTAACATATGTGTTTTTTCTTACACCTGACAAAACTTGACAAAAAGGCAAGTTGTCAAATTGTGTAAATTCCCCCAGCCAGAAAAAAAACCCATTGTCTATTGAATCTCCCACAGTCTAGTGGCATCCTTAATAGACATCAGTGTTGTACTCTCAAACATTTGCAAGTACAACAGTGATGTGGGCTCTTGCCAGGTGACGAACCAGGAACTGAAGAGCCCACCAGATGCTGATTGCGGTGCCATGAGGAACAGCTTCAGTTAAGTAAAACTTACATTCCTCTGCACCTCCAGGCCACCACTCTGCAAGCAGCGAGGTCTTTATCGGGTGTTTGCAAAAATATGTGAAGACCCCAGAAGGTAACATAACTTCTCTAAAGGAACGCTGTAGGCACTGTAACTGCTTTGTCTCATTGAGTTGACTACAGTGTGTAGCGTCCCCTGGTGTCATCTTTCCATTCAGTGTTAAACCATTTTTAATGCAAGAGTTCTCAATAGCCTATCTCACCAGTGTTGCTTAGGAGAGCATTAGACTGGCCAGCAATGGGGCTGTTGTGATTGGATGAGAATGCCAACTGATTGCTTTAGGCCTATCACAGTATAACCGCTGACTTAGCCACACCTTTAGTGGGTGCTGTACTTTGGGAAGCTTTAGTGTTAACCAGCTCAAAGTGGTTTATTCCTAGATGGAGGGACAGTGCCAGAGGACTCCAGGCAATATATAACCAATTCAATGAGAGGAAATGTTTTTAATGCTTACAATGTTCCTTTAAGGTAGGTCCCTATGTAAATAAAAAGGAAAAAAAAAATCCTTATAGGCAGCATGGCATTCATGATGATTGGTCATAATAGCCAGGTTATTACTATAGTTAAATTGGAGAATTTGTCCATGGCCCTTATTTTTCCTAAATTTTGCTATTCAGTTTTTTTTTTTTTTTTTTAATTTGACAATTTTTATTTGCCTTAAAGCAGGTGGGGGTACAGAAAGGAAAGGGAGGTTAGGGGGGGAAAAAACATTGTGCAGACATTACATATCCCAAATCGCATTAAATTCATATTAACTTCATACAGTCCTGGATTGAATATATTTGCGTGCTCCTATTACCCTGGGCTAAGTTGGTGTATAGTTGCTTGTGTTGTGTTGTCCCTTTATGATGTAGTTGTCATGGGCTAACTCTTGATTATGCTTTGCACCTCAGGCTGGGCAGCATGTGACTATGTCCTTATGTGGTAGCTTATTAATAGGATGGGGGGTGGGGAAGTGGGGTGTGTTGTCTGCCTTTACACTAGTTGTAGATATTTCGGATGCGCTGATGTCTTAGTTTGGTAATGTTGGGGTTGTATCAAAAGGTAGTGGGGGGGTGGGGTGGGAGGGGGTTTTCTTTGTTGCGTTGTATGTTGCATCGTACCTTTATATCCTTGCCAGCTGTAGTGGTGTATTTATTGATGACTAAGTAGGTAGTATGTGTTTTGGTCTATGGGTGGGCCTCTTGTGACCTTATTTCTTGTCTTCTTGTTGTCCTTTCCTGCATTCAACCTGTCTTGTTCCTGGCTTGTTAGCCTTTTATATTGTTGCTTCTATATTGTAGGGTGTTCTGTGTTTAGATAGTCTTTGTTTGCTTGTTGTCTTACTTTAGGCTTAGTTACAGTCGTCTAACTTTGATCTTGCGATTAATTCCAATGACTTAAGTTGATTATTGTTGATTCCCAGGTGTTCGTCCATATGGCTTGGAGTCTTCTTTTGGGTGTGGTTGTGCTAAGCTAGGTGGGTGGAGCCGTTCGTTGTGAGTTGGTTTGTGATGTATCTTTCTGTTTATCTTTGAGTTCCCAGTACTCTTTCCACATCAGGTTTGCTTTGGAAATTGTTTTCTTTGGCCCATTTTGTTTTGAAAGCATGGTCTCATATTGCCAGTTTATGTTGATTTGGTTGAGAAGGGCGTTGAAATTCAGTGCTGTGGGTGATTTCAATAATCTAGATATCACCATGGCTGCTGAGATCAATATGTGGTATGTTGTTGCCCACTGGGCTTTGTCCATGTTGTCCGGTGGTATGAATAGTAGGCACATTTCTTCTGTGGGTCGTATGTTGGTCTTGGTTACTTGCTTAATCAGTTGGTGCGTTTTGCGCCAGAAAGGTTGTAAGGTGGCACATGACCACCATATGTGCAACATTGTTCCTTGAGTATTGCATCTCCAACATTTATTCGTGGATGATTGGGGCCATATTCTGTGTATTTTGGCTGGTACTAAATACCAGCGGTATTGTATTTTCCTTTGTAGTTCTAGGTGGTTCGTGCAGGATGTGATACCTTTGTGTGACGAGTACGCTCTTGTCCAGTGTTCTTCGTCTATTGTTCGGTGTAGTTCTTTGTACCAAGCTATTTTATGCGTGATTTTCCCTTTGTTATGTGTGCGCGTGAGTGTTTTATAACACCATGATATTATCTTTTTCGGGGGCAGGGCGTTTGTACAGAATTTCTCGTATAGAGAGAGTGTCTGGAGTGGTTCTTTGTTTTGTTTTGTAGGGTGTGTATTCTTTAGACACGATTTGAGTTGGAGGTATGGAAACAGCATGCGGTGTGGTAGGTCGTATTTATGCTATTCAGTTTTTAATTAACCACAGCTACAAGTTTAGTGAATAAACCATTTAGTGCACCATACAAACCATATAGAAAAAAATGCAAACAGGAAAAACACATGACCCCCTGCTTTGGGTTTTTGTTTGCAAAGACCGGAAAGCAGGTTTCTTTTAAGTTTTCACCTATTTTGTTTCCTCATTGAAATACAAGTAGTGCGGTTAGATTTATAGAGACACTGGCATCCATATTCATTCTGCTCTTTTACATAGCGTTCTACGGTCTAGATTAGACCTGGCTCTATTCTTGTATACAAGTGATCAAAGTGTACGTAAATTCTTTCCAGCATGTGGAATGGAGTGATCTTTGAGAATTCTCCCATTATGGCAAATTCATATTAAAGCTATAGATAGTCCCCAATGATCTTGTAGTAAAGCCAGTGCATTGCTATCATATAATTGACAATTTATTAGAGCAGCATATCTTGCCATTATAATATATAAAACATTTGTATTTTTCATTTCAATAGGGATGGTATCTCCGAATGCACTTCTCAGAAACCAATAATGTAATACACATACTAAAATAAACCAAAACTTTATATTAGAAAAAAAATCATCACTCTTACAAAAATGTATCTGAGTATTTAAAAACATTTATACAATATTTAGTATTCTGCAAGGTTAAAATATCCCACTAACATATAACTATCTTTAACCCCTTAAGGACACATGACGTGTGACATGTCATGATTCCCTTTTATTCCAGAAGTTTGGTCCTCAAGGGGTTAAAAGGGAGAAATAATGCATAAACACATGTAAATACAATCTTATTGCAAAAGGGTCACTTCTAGAAATGGTTCTGTTAAGGCACCCATCTCAAAATACATGAGCTATCAACCCTTCAATTTAATAGCTTTTCAAATGATTTCATATTTTTGGATACATTTTTAAAATGATTTAATATTAACAAAAATATTTTAGCTTCGTAATATTTTTTTATTGATTTCTTTGACTATATGATACATATTTTTAGATATTTCTATAGTTTGAGTATATAATTTAAATTTACCCTGAAAACAGTTAGAAGAGATTAAATATCTAATGCCACCCATTTGTTTCCTAAAATGTCTGTGGTATCCCTAATGTACACGGTTAAAGGAACTCTGTAGTGTGCCCCTATGTCCCCCACCTTAGCAGCTATCAAAGGGTTTAAACCCCTTTAAAGCAGGCCTGCATAACCTGCGGCTCCCCTGCTGTTTTTGAACATGATTCTTTGAATACAAAAGCCAACGCCCATTAATTAATTTAATGAAACAGCCAACGCCCATATTTAATGGAACAGATAGCCAGGGGATCATGGGAGTTGTAGTTCAAAAACATCTGGTGGGCCGCAAGTTGTGCAGGCCTGCTTTAAACACTTACTGTCTCCAACTCCTCCGACATCTGCGGAGAGGGAACCTAAATCTGGGAGAAAGCCATTAGAGGCTGTCTTGGAATTGCAATGTAAACATTGTAGTTTCTCTAAAACTGCAATGTTTTACATTGCAGGACTAAGGGAGACAGGGACACTGCACCTAGATCACTTCACTGAGAATTAATAAATCCAAGTCCAGACATGTTTTTAAAATAACAATGTTATGTAGAAGTAGCTATACGACCCACCACTCTGTAGTTAATTTTAATGAAAAGTATATTTGCATACCATTATCACCTCTATCCTTAATTAGAAACACCTGCTATATCTCCCAAAAAAAGGAAAGGGAAAGAAAAAAGGGGTAACAATATTGACAAGAATCAGGAGTGACTTTTAAAAAATATCCCTGACTCTATATACACACAGTTCACCATCTGTTATAAACTTTGTAAAATAAGTACCTTGCTAATTGGTTAAGTTATAGCTTTAAATATTTTCTCTACCAAATAGATAGTGTTATTATTTTAAAACAGAATACCAATTTGAGGAATATTTTACGGTTTAAACTATATATTTTTTTTAGTCCGGCTAGCCATAAATATATAAAAAGTATCTGATCACCCATCTTTTAGATCTTATAAGTAGAGCTTAAAGTAGTGTCCAACCAGGAAGGTGGGGTAGGACACACATCTGGGGACCTGCGGTTTACAATGAGGGATTGTGGCCAGCATCTCCCTAGATTATATGACCCTTATTATGCTAATAAGGCTCACAGTTTGTTTAATGTTTTTGTATGTGAGTTGGGCTGTGTGGACATCCAGTGGCCTATCAGAGAAGATGTTTTGAATTTCAAACAAGATGAGCATTAATGACAAATTGAGATATGTAACTTTAAATGTTAAAGGGCTAAATTTTTTAGTCAAGTTACAAACGATTCAATAGAAATAACGTTATGGACTTTCCTAGCAAGAATACAATCCTAAAAGGAAAGACTTACTACGGAACCCACAACAAAACCTGTATGGGCACTTCAGTTGTGTCCTGGGGCTTAACCCCTATGTTATACTACAAATCAAAAGAAGCTCAAAGTGTTGGAAAAACCAACAATTTAAGCAAAGACTGGATAAAATATGATGTTAATTAGAATGAATAATGATTAATAAAATGTTTATTCCAAATCTCTACCTAAGTTATTGTGTTCTACCCAAACCAAATCTGTGTAACCAGCCAAGTAAGGCTATACCTCCCTCACAGCATACTGTGACTGAAATTTATCTCAGACTATTTGACTTTAATGCAACTTAATAGGTCACAGTCTGTACTACACTTTTCCAATACTGTGGACTCAGTCACAGATAAAGAAGTCCTGATTATAAATAGGTCTGCCTAAAGAAACAGACATAAATCATGAGTCTAATGCTCTCTATTGAACCTCAATAATTTGGATAGAAAATAACTATGCTCAAGAGTAGAGTAAATTTTAAAGTAAATAATGTGAAATGCCTAATGCATACAAATAGTATCAAGACAAACTCTATGATAAAAATGTATCTCTTGAGCTAATATAGTTAAACCCTGAAGGGAGAATACTGATCATAATAACATAGCTACAAACTGCTATACTGTATCTAATTATTCTAATTATGTTTTAACGTAACCTGCCCATTAGAGGCTGCTGCTGTTGTATGGAATGAGTGGCCCGAGTAGGGGGAAGGATTAAGGACTGGATGGAGTAACAAAGTAACAAATATGGCTTATTAAAGAAAGTAATGGGTAGTTAGGGACCTGGCTAAACTGGTCTTTGAGTAGGAGTATAAAGTTTGAACCGGGCACAATTTAAAATACCTGATTGCTATGTTTGGTACGAGGAGTAGATATAATGTAATGTTGTTGATTCCTGAACTCTTGACGCATGAGTGAAGGTTGAATGCTTCCGACAGTAACATTCTATCTTTTTGGCCTCAAGAAACCGTAGGAAGCCAAGTAAGCTGCTGACTTACCACTATGTAATTAGGGTTATTAAAGGGACGTTTACTTGTTAATTTGAAGAGTTCCCCCTAGGATTTACTGTCGATAGGGGGTGAATTGCATGATTTGTGGCGTTTTGAACTATGACGCCTGTCAGCACATCTTTACTGAATAAGAAACCAATTGGGAGCTGTTGGGTATATTGTCTACATGTAAAGTTAAATTCCCATAATTATAGTTCAATTGTATTGTAGGCTGGTTTCAAAGAGATGGGCAAATTTTTTGCAAGCAACCATTTACAATTGGAACGCATTTATTATAATGAAATTATATACAACTTTACACCTACCGTAAGCTTTTAGAGTAAGTTACCTTAGTGTTGGTAGACTAATTTACCTGCGTAACTGACCAAACTGTAAAATCTAGTTGGAATCGATCGTCACTGTTAAATCTTCTTAATTTCTTCTTGTCTTCAGTTGATTGATATATATACGTCTTTTGTATATATAGTCTTGGGCCAAATGCTCGCCACAATAATATATGTCTATATTATTGAAAAGTACTAATACGCAATCTGACTTACAGTTTCTTCAGGTTTATTCTTAGTTACAGATACATAATAAAACAACAAATGATGTTACAGGATAATGGACATTCAACAGCAGATGGTAATTGCTGGACTCCTTTACATCCTTACATCTTTACATCGAGAGAGAGAGCCAGCGAGAGCGAGCCAAGACCGAGAGAGATCGACCTCGTGCCCCTCTGTTACTATATAGATGTGCTCATACTAACGTCAGCGTTTAACTCTAGCCAAATAAGGAAAAGACCCCCAAATCCACATTCCAGAGCTCTCGGACAAAGAAAGCCTTGTGACTTATACCATCTGTTACTTATGTCAATCCACACATCCATATATAATCAATAGAAACATAGAATATGCAATATTCTACATTCCCTCTGTTTATGATTTGTCTTAAAACCATAACACAATGTAACTAACCTGTCCATTCATACATCACTTGTATCACATTCATTGAGCATAGAACAAGATGTAGTCACAACTTCCCATTATATGAGAGTTCTTAGAAGGTCGAGTTTCTATCCCTCATACTGCTTACTTTACTTCAAATTCCCTCTGTTTCAGCTATGTATTGATATCCATATCCATGTTACATCATAACTACTTGAAAATAATATATACATATATATAACAATAATAAACGAATAAAATAAAATATTTACAAATGTTGATCCAATAAACAATGTAAAGCAATGAGAAAGATCAACCTGCTCAGCTACAGTCATGTCTTTGTAGACAACAAAATCAAAATGATAACTTTCTAGATAATAACTGTGTATCACTATCATATTCCTACAGACATATATAGTATAGTATTTTCATTCTCAATACATGTATTACTATAATATACGTCCACTTATACTTCCATGAATAATATGTTTTCTAGTAACTTAAACTCTTTAGGTCATTTGTATTCATGAATTACATTCCTATACCATTAATACCACCTAGTGATAATTCTACCAGTACTTTACAATCATAGTATTTAATTTGTATATTCAGTAGGCTCTCATTAACTGAAATATATCAACACTACTTATAAGACTCATAATAGTTTGCAAACCTTCAAAGGTTGTGTTGTTATCAACCATAAAGTTTTATAATAATTCTTCAAATAGTGTTCATGTTGTTGACAATACTTATTGTTTTAGAAATTCTCCACTCATAAATCTTTCTATCATAGATTTGTTTTTGTTTACATAATTATAATTTTGACTAACATTCCACCTTGTAGCAACAAACTTTTCATTCAATCGGAGAAAGGTTTACTTTTAAAGAACTTGGAAAGAATAATTTAAATTCATTAGCATCACTCTCTTCATTAGACCTTAATTGTGATGACTTATTAATGTAATACATCTTAAAAGCAGGATTGTCCTAATGTTCTGACCAATCCGTATTCCTTAGTACACTTCAACTGACTAAATTAAAATAAAATAAACAAAACTTGGGGTCATACTGCCCAGAAACTCTTATTCCTAGTCTGTGTCTAGCAAACTCAGGGTAATCATAAAACAACTTATAACAACTTATTCATTTCATTGGATACCATCATATCCAGAAACCTATTCTCCCTAGTCCATACCTTTTATAGACTTAGGTAATTAAGCGATAGTATGAGTTAACGTATGGTAATCTAGAACACAATGTACTGAAATGCCACTAATGGGTTGTCAAGTAATAAATAGTATACTTTGTAAAAAATAAATCTGGAAGCAGTCACTATATGTACTATATGTATTGAGGACCTGACGATGGTCTGATACCAGGCCTAAATATGTACAATGTGTAAACGTAAAAGGCAGCGTGAGGCCCAATATACGTGTTTAACTGAAAATATGTGTAACAAATAAAACACCTGAAACAAATTGTTGGAGGAAAATCGCTGATCTTGGTTCTACTATATTGATATGGGCACCTGGTGCATGTGGTATAATAGGATCACGAAGTGAGTGACAAGTTGGGTAAATATATGTATTTGGGTATCATCCTTGTACTGTTGTATCTAATTAAATCGTAGACCCTTAGCCTGTAAGTGACTGAAGTATTGAAATCATGGATTAGCCTTGTATGATAGTTTCAATTGTGCATGCCCCTTACAGTAATACAAACAGTATGTCAGAACTAAAGCTATAACGAGGCGGGAAATAATCCGCTAGGATGCCCGAAATGAAATATAGTGAATATGCATGACGGGGTCTGCAGGCGCCGTCCCCCAACTTACTACTAGTGTGTGTGTGTGTGTGTGCTTGGCTGACTAGCTAGTGCCGCAATGCGGCAAAACAATTACTCTAGGTTGGTGACAGGTGAGGCCCTGCTATTTGCCAAGTGGCTTGATCGGCTCTATCTATGCGTTGGCGCGAGGGGATAACGTGGCCACTGAACATTGTGGCAGGGTGTCGGCCTCTCGATGACAGTTAAACATAAGATAGAATGGGAATCACAGGTGAGGCCCTCTCTATGCCACTTTGCGAGGCGACTTACTATGATTTGGCCCGAGGGGCGTAGTACCTCCGAGTATAAGGATGGGTGTTGGCCTCGCGGGACCACTAACCTAAGGCGAAGAAGCCAGGGGGAATAATAACTAGTGGACACCTAGGAACCTGACAGCCAGCCACTGCTAACTAAGAGGGAAGTTTAGTAAGTAAGAGAGAGGACATACCATGGAACGAAACGTGGGTGGTAATGAGTTAGGATCGTAAGGCTGACCGAAACTGGAGTGCCTTGTGAGCCCGTCGGGGTCCAGATGGTCGGTACGTATGAACTAAATTGCGTGTATGTATGTATGGCCCTTGGGGCTCGTGTTGCCAGATCGTGGCCTGGTTTTTAATGTAATCAGTTTTTTTTAATGTTTCCTTATGGATGCGGATCTTGTTCATAGTACTGTTAAAACGCGTACTCGCCTTCGCCGAGGATTGCTCATCAGAACTGCAGATAATGTGAGTGTGAGTTTAATGCACTTTGTTTAGAAACATATGTGCTTGTCTGCGCAGAGGTGTACAGGTCAAGGTAATAAAGCAATGATAGGTCTTAAATGCAAAGCTGAATATGTCAGAAACTTTAATAGGTTTAGGAATGTAATGTGCAGGCGTAATTGTCAAGTATTTATAGCTGTGTTTCTTCAAAGCATCTGCTGATGAATGTAAGATGTGCATAACAGTCAGAGCATCTGCGTTTATACTGAGGTGTAATATATAATGCTGTAGCCAGGCTATCATGGAAGCACTAATAGTCTTCCTATACAACGTGTTCGCTTTGCCTTAGATTAGACAAATTGTAGATGATCCTCCCACTGACTGTGATCTCCTACTCTCATGCTAGTTAAATCGCGTGTGGTTGCCTGCGCAGGGGTGTATACGTCCGGGTAACCAAGCCATTTAAGTGTGCATGGATTTAGCAAGGTTAAACATTCTTGATGGTAAATACGCTTAGGTAATGCAGTGTGTATGCATTATGGATAACAGAAAAGTGTATGCGTCTAAGTTAAGGCATAGTAATATATTGCAGCAATCAGGCAACTAGGCAGTATTTAAACAACCGTAACAGCGTATATACTTTGGATTAAGAAAGCAATTATTCTTTTACTGGATATACCATGACTACCCGGTTGCCCAGTTGTGTTACCTGCACCAGGAGGTTGCCCACAGTGTCAGTGCCCTAAGAGACCCGAGCCATGCTGCAGGCCGTCACTGGACAGCTCCGGGCTTTGCTGCCATGGCAACTGGACGTGGGGATTGTCAAACTGCTCCAGGCGGGGGCGGAAGATACCCTCCATCCGCACGCTGGGAAAGGTGCCCGGAAGTGTAGCCGTTGCCATGCGGGAGTTGTTGGTTGCTATGTTGAAGTAGCATGCGCTACTAGCTCAGCACGTTGGAACGCATTTGCGTTCCACCTTGCCCAAGCAGTTCTCAAAGTAGTTTGCATGTTGCTTAATATGCTAAAGTACAGCATATTAACTGAAGGAATTCAATTAAAAGGTATAAAGAATGGCAGTAACAATACTTTTTATTTTTTTACTGTATACCATTTCGACAAGCATTACATTTGATGAAGGGGGGGTGGCAATTTTATTTACGGGGTTGTCCCTGGAGGTAAGGGGATCTGGGAAATTTCTACAAAATGTATTGACACACTAATAGACATGTAACAGGTGAATTTATTTATAACAAAGACAAAGTAAAATCACTTAAACCATTTAAAATTGACTCTGAGATGTGTGGACAGTAAGACCATTTTTGGATTGTTATAAATGTAGTCTATATAGTGAATATATATATGTGTTAATAAAAATAAAAAAAAAAAAATTTAAGCAAAGGTATTGGCGCGAACAGTACTGAATAAGTTTTAGGAAACGGCACAAATTAATACCCGAAATGCCGTCCGAATGCAGACGAATGAACAAGCCTAAAACAAGTATTTCATTAAACGAATAGAAAACTGAATTAATACGAATTGTGCCGTGATAGTGCCTGGAGATGTAATGAATGGGGGAATCCCACAAAATGATTTGTATTAAATAAACAAATGAAATCCAAGGTGTTCGTGAAGATGAACTACTTACAGTTAGTAGAATTTGCCATTGAGCCTGCTCGTGCGACGGTTGCGTTAATTTTTGTTAATACTCACGAATTGTATGAAAGTCATTTGGAAGGCTGTGTTCTTACAGATGGCCAGCGGGCGGAAATGACGTCAGAGCTTTGTGAACCAGAAGCAGAACAGAGGAACTTCCAAACGGCGATGATAGGTATGCTGGGGTTACTGGGTTTAAATAGGAAAATAACCCCTCCCACAAATTCAGGCATATGCCTTCCACATATATATATAAAAAATCAGTTTCCAGTTAGTACATAACAGGATTACTTACATGGAATTAAAGGACCACTATAGTACCAGGAAAACATACTTGTTTCCCTGGCACTATAGTGCCCTGAGGGTGCCCCCACCCTCAGGTACCCCCTCCCACCCGGCTCTGGAAGGGGGAAAGGGGTAAACCTTACCTTTTTCCAGCGCTGGGCGGGGAGCTCTCCTCCTCCGATCCTCCTCCTCTCCTCCCCGTCGGCTGAATGCGCACGCGCGGAAAGAGCTGCGCGCGCATTCAGCCGGTCACATAGGAAAGCATTCATAATGCTTTCCTATGGACGCTGGCATGCTCTCACTGTGAAAATCACAGTGAGAAGCACGCAAGCGCCTCTAGCGGCTGTCAATGAGACAGCCGCTAGAGGAAATAGGGGAAGGCTTAACCCATTCATAAACATAGCAGTTTCTCTGAAACTGCTATGTTTATGAAAAAATGGGTTAACCCTAGCTGGACCAGGCTCCCAAACCACCTCATTAAGCTGAAGTGGTCTGGGTGCCTAGAGTGGTCCTTTAAGGCTTTTTTTTTTTTTTTAGCACGTTACAAATCTGTTTTATCACTGAAACATGTGACTTGCAACATAATCTCCAAAATACCTCTAGCCCCAGGTTTGAAAGGGAATCTGTATGTGAACCAGTCAGAAAAAAAATCCTGTAAAGGGACTAGAAAATAGACATGAACAGTTGCAGCAGTGAAACTGGAAATGTAGCTGCATAACTTCCTTAAGGCTAAAGAAGATACTGAAAACATCATCTGCCTTTGCAAATGTGCCGGTTGTACTTTCAAACCAAATAAGGCAGCAACACTGACCTGTCACGCAGATCTATTGCACGTACAGAAGCGTTTGTGCATCAGCTCATGTGGTCCCCACGCATAACAAACCTGATTCAAGATGAATACGAAGTGCGTTAACGAAGTGGATGGTTAAAGGTGCAGTAATAACACATACATCTGTAAATTTATGATGGCCCCTTAATGGTCCAGAATTAGCCTTATCCAAACTTATTTTTTTTTGTGTGTCTAAGGAAAGCAAGCCACTGAGAGAGAGTAAGATGTTGCAAATATTTTGTTTTAGAAAGTAGACAATAGTTGATGCGCTCAAGTGTAACCAAAAAGGCAGGTTTATTGGAACAGTGTACAAATAACTTTTCGACCCTCAGGGTGTCTCTTTCAAGCTTGAAAAAAACTCCTTGAGGGTCGAAGCATTGCTTTGTGCACTGTTCTGAAAAACATGCATTTTTGGTTACATCTTGAGTGCCTGGACCATGGCCTACTTTCTAAAACTACAGAGTAAGGTTTGACCTACCTCAGATCCGGTGCACCCGGGGAGCCAATGGAGTGCAGTGTGCCTGGTTCTATTGAATGCATCAAATCTATTTACAAAAAAATACTAAAAGAAAGCACAGGAAGACAAATACAATGTGACTCAATAAAGGTGAATAAGAGAAGGGAGAGCCGTGATATCACATGACCGTAGAGCTTAGGGTCCTGAGTTTATGAGATAATAAGGAGACTTCAGTTTGACAATTGGATGTACATTGTGTATATATAAAATGCTTTCATTAGAAATTGTTAAAAAGTATGTCTGGAATGTCTCAGTCCATCCCTGAGTCTCCCATCCCATAAATATAATGCAGTATGGGAACCTTACCATAATGGCAGACGACAGTGGTGTAGTAGTTGATTTATTAGAATGCACATGTTTCTGGAATGTCTTTTCTACCATTTGTAACCTTGTAAGTAGTATAATGTTCTTGATTCAAGTTTGTTATCTGCAATACTATCTGTTTGAATGCTGATGCTTTATCATTTTACATAGCGGGAAAATAAAAATTCATATCTGCAATCCTAAGCACGGTTTAATTGCCTTTTGAACCATTGTAAATCAGGTTATTGTTAAAGATTTTGATTACAATTGCCTCATTTTTAGTGATGAAAACGGTGTGTGGCTGACCTTTAACCTTAGATAAACTCCTAATTGCCTACTGTGCCGTATGTTTTTGTGTGAACTGGTTAGTTCCGGTATGCATAGCTCCCAGCATAGCAAATAAACAAAAAGGGTCACTATATTTTAGAGGGTGTGACTGAAAGCAGCACTGTCAATTTTAAGACTCTTCGAACATGGTGGCTAGAAAACCACCAAGGTGACGTGTCTTTTAATACCATGATGCCTGCTGGGAATAGAAGAGGTGGAAGGTAGAAGGTAGAGGTGGAACTTACTTAAACTTCCCTCCCCTCATTACTGCCGTCATCACAGAAACAGAGGGACAACATGGTGTTTGGAATACAGTTTTGTATTCCTAACACTGTTATGTTCCTTTAAGGCCAACATAGCCAAATTGTAGAAATTCTCTAAGTCACCTATGCTTTCCATCTGGCTACTCTAGTCTTAAATTTTACATTTATTTTGAATTCTCCCTTTAGTAAATAACCCTGTTTGAATTATCTTCCACTAGAGGACATTGCTTTACAAGGTCACTTAAGCCATTTGAGTCTTTAGTGATGGTGAAGACTCAAAGGAAAGAGTTTTCCCTCATAATGCTGCATCACCATCACAATAGATATCTCATTGTTCCTAATCCCAGCGGTGACTTTGGTAACATATCTTTCTTATGTAATTGGGTTACGTGCCTTTCTGCTGCTTTAGATCATCATGTCCAGCTTCCGACCACCCACTGTAGCTAGGTTACAATTAGCTTTGGGAAGTGTGGTAAAATATTATAGAAGCTGTCGCCCATTGATGGCTGGAAAGCCGTATTTGGACCAATTTGAATGCCCACTCAGTACATTTTGATAAATACTTTTATTTATTTCGTGTTTTTTTTTTTTTTTTTAATTAAATTTTTTTTAATCCCTTTCATTGCAGGAATGTTTAGACAGCTTCACCCAAGCATCGGAAAGTAACTTTGGGTGTCTCATGGCTGGGGGGAAAGTGTTGGCAGCGACAGAGAAGTGGTGGAGGTTGGCTGCACAAGAGGTGATGCTGCTGTGCTGGTTGGTGGCTTCCTTGCCTCCTCATTCATCAAGAGATTATCCTGTTTATCTTCCTCAAGGAAGCCCTACGGTAAGAAATGGTTCATAAAAACCTGTAATTTTATGAAGGCCCCTTAATGTATGGGTAACAATACAGCATTGTAGGCTTCACAATATTAACACAGTGTTCCACACTCATAGATGATCCACAAGGAAAGGGTTAATATGAAAAATGTGCACATTTATTTAAAAAAAAAAAATATATATATATCAAGATACATGGCATCACACTTGCCCAGCAGCCCTCATGTATGCTAATGATAGTACAGGCATTACATACAACTCAAAAATAATGTTATACAACGAAGTAACATTGTGTTCAGAGAAAAGAGAAAAAGACAAAAAAAAAAATTTGAAAAAATAACAATGTCAAATAGCCATACTACCTGCGATTGCTGGACTGGCGAGAGACCACCCAAGAAGACTCCCCCGAAAAATATAGATCAAGCCCTGGATGCATTTCGCACTCTTCCTGGTGCTTTCTCAACGTTATAAACTACCAATAATTATTAACTTATACATTCAGTATACTCTCCAGCAATCTAAGAATCTTTCATTCCTCCTTACTTGCAAACCCATAAACACTTTGACACACTTTGGCCATTCACACATATATTTTCACTCCAGCTAATCAAATTATAAAACCAAATCATATAATGCCACAATCATCACATACACAGGCACTCACTTATTTTTACACACGTGCACGCTCCTTGAATCCACTTTTTGTTATTTTGTGGTTTAATATAAATTGCTTTTTTTTTTTTTTTGTTGCAGACAGATTTGTGGGCTCCTGTTAGCAGGGGTTCCATTATATTATGGTAACATTACTCGTCCTTCCTTTCCTTCTAGGGACTTGATCTTATTTCTTCTACCACAGATAACTGATTTTCATTACACTCGATATAGTCGAATAGTCATTGTCTTGGTCTTAGTGGGACGTTATCGGGAAAAGTGACTTTAAAAGTGTACTAAAGTTATAGGTAATGACACAGAAATCTGCCAGGATTATATTTCCTTCATATGCTGTTTATTTTTGTTTGTTTTTTTTAAATCAATTTTGAACATCAAATTCAGCAAAACCAGTCTTACTTGAATCACTGCTTGTGGTTTACTGCCACTGAGCAGAAATGGTGCAGCATGGTGTGCTTTATGATTTCACATAATCCCACAGGCGCAAAGCATTGATTTTACCAGTCCATCTACATTCTTCCTGTAGTCTGCCTGACAGTAACACTGACTTTGATGACCTAAGCCAGATAAGGAGCTTAGTATGGAATTTCACGACCTTCTTGGTATATGAGCTGGTGTTATTTATTTATTTATTTATTTTTATTATTTTTTTGCTGTATCCGGACATCAAGCCCATTTGATCTATTCCACTAATAGTAATGTCTGCCAGTTTCTCTTTATTGGTTACCACTCTGCATTGCATTGTCATTTTTGTATTCCTTCTACAAGCACTCACGAATACAAATACCAGTCCTTGCCGCTAGAACCAGTTTATACCAGGCTCAGAAACACGTCAACAGATGGTAGGACAAATCTGCTGGCTTCCTTCAGTTACAGTAGCCAGTGACAGTAAACAGTTTGTCTCACACTAATGGCAGGTGGTGTGAAATTTCTTAACAGCTATCTTCCTCCATTGTCCTACCAAAGCGGCCTTTTCCTGTCTTGCACTCCTTTTTTTTTTGTTCCCTTTCCCTGTTCATTCTACTGACAATCTTGCCCCGTGACATTTACCACACACACTGATAACAATATTGATAACTCTGAATTGAATTTCCTGTAATTCACTCACCTGCTTATATACACACGCACGCACGCACGCACTCACTCACTCACACACTCTCTCTCTCACTCCTTGAAAGGTTACAATTACAGTCACATTGCCCCAGGGGTTTTGCCAATGATCACATTAATTTTCTTCTATGTGATAAAAAAATAATCGTGCTGTGATAGAAGGCGCTTAGAAAGAGTAAATTATAATACAATTCACAATAAAGTGGTAGCAGCTTACACACCAAAAGTAGGAACTCTTCAACCTACTAACAATCAAATGTATACAAGAAAACACTATTGTGCAAATACATGCAAAACAGTAAGGTGGAGCGCTTAAAAATAGCAATTGCATGCCCACAGTCTACCAGTCGTCGTGCTTGATGACGTCACAGTATCGGAGATATTAGAAACAGCTGAGCTTTCAGACTCCCACTAGGATCAACGTCGTGATTGGATGTATCACGGACGTTCCCTCCCAATCAGTCCCCCGTTAGGGGGTATTTAAATCTTGTTCTAGCAGCATTATGTCTACCAATTGATAAAGCCGAAAAACACATCGGCGAAACGCGTCTTGGACACAGCACTGGCACTTGAGTATACCGATTTTATTTTATTGTTTTTAACAAGTTACAATAAATGTTAATTTCTTTTACCAAGTGGACTAGTGATACATTTATGCTGCTATCAAGAAGGGAAGTGTCACTCTATATTTGACACTGTGCTTATATACTTGGAGCCCAGTTAAAGGCTCCTGATAAGGTGAGAAGTAAATCGTTATTTTTTACCTTGCTACCTACCATATTAAGGATTTCTACACCAGGGTCAGCATTGCTTCCCTGTTTCTCCCATTTTATTGTCTCCACTTTGAGGTTCTTCATCAAATATGGATACTTAAAGGATCTCATCATCATTTCCATTAATTTTCTTCTGTCTTTTTGGTATTTTGTAGTTTCTGGCAGCAGAATTTACACAGATATTACTGGTTGTTTTTCTCAAATTTCATTATTGCATAGGAGATTGACTTTAATTACTCAGGCTCTCTGTGTTGATGGGCCATAATCCTAAATAATTGCTCAATTTCCCTTTTGTTAATTCTCTAGTCTTGGGATATGAATATTTTATTTTTTTATTTTTCAGTGTATAGATCTTTATTGATTTTTAACATGCAAGAAAAGACAGCAACAAATTCCACATGGTTACGCGTCAACAGTTAACACAGTAATTAGTTATCCAGTAATACCAACAATGAGTAGACATAAATGGTATGATCGGCATATATTAAAGGAATGTGCATGTTAATCTGGAATCTGACATTGTATGCTTTTAGACTTTATATGTAATTGTTTACATATAACCAGGTTTGTCCTGTACTGCACTAAAGTATATGGAACAATTTCGTAACATGAAGAAACTAAAATGAGAGAGAAAGATAGAGAGAACAGTTAGAAGGAGATACAAGAATTAAGGAATAATCATCCCGGAATCCTGATTCATGGCTAGTGTGTATATGAGGGGAGAAAGGAGAAGACCGGGTGGGAGGTGATTCTTGTCAACGTACACTGAACTGGCTGGAAATTCTTTGACAATTGGTCACAGATCAGCCGCAAGCAGTAGGTACAGAGTGGAATACACTGTCATTTCTGTTAGCAGGTTACTTCATAGACGTCTATTCTGCTGTGCTTTGTGGGACGTATGCCAGAGAGATTTCAGAGGTACAAGTCCCTAGTGGTTGTCCAAGTGCACCATGTTTTTTGATGACATGTCAGTTTACCCTGTAAGCGGGATGCCACCTGTTCTTGTTGGCAGATAGACTCCATCCTTACTTCTACTTCTCTTATAGAAGAGGTGGATATTAAAACATTTAATTTAAACCAAAACCAGCTAGCCCTGGCTCATGCTCCATTTGTAATTTGGGAACGAATAAGTGAAAATATTTAGACCTGCTTTGATGTATGCCTATAGGGATATTATACGAGATATTAGTGTAAGAAATTAGCAGATTTGGACCACATCCCACATAACTATCTGTGCATGGGTCCCAATTTGGCAGCCGATGATTTTTATGGCAAGATGGAACATAATAGATTAAATTATAAAAATGGATTTAAATAGGTCTATTCTACAATCAGCCATTGAAATGACAATATATAATGTTATGGAAAAACAGCATATTGTAAACAAGAAATGCTGAATATGTTATAAAAATATTACATCTGTTATAAAAACATCCCTAGTGCCGTAACTAATTACGGGGTGCATTCCATGATTAACCCACCAGGCAGAATCCCTGCATCCCAACTGTCCTCCGTCGAGGGGGAATTACACAGTTCTCACTTTACTGCCATTTTCATCACACCTTGCACGTTTATAATATTGCTCCATTTCATCAGAATAATGCACATTGATTATAGTCCTTTATCCATTCATTCTTATTTTTATTTAATTCCATCTTCCCACGAATATTAGCTGTAGGTATTGCTGCCTTTACACAGTAGCGTTTTGTGTGTGTTTTTTTTTTTTTTTTAAATGTTTCTTTTATTACAGTGGTGTATGATCACCTGTTTACCGGTTTAGAGCAACATTTAGGGGATTACCCCCCTTTCCAAGATATTATTATTATTAGTAGTAGTATTTATATAGTGCCAACTAATTCCGCAGCTCCTTACCTTATGAAAAGGGGGGAAATTTACAATAAGTGAGACAATTACACAGTGAAACAGGAACAATAGGTAGATGAGGGCCCTGCTCAAATGAGCTTACAGTTTAGAGGAGGTGTGGTACAGATAAACAACAGGGCAGCAGGGGTGACAGCCACCAAACAAGGTGGAAAAGTAGCAGAACTGGAGGTGAGAATGGAGTATGGCTCTTTAGGAGAGCAAGAGACAGATATGCATAGGTATAGATAAGTTACTTTGGGAGTCCATAAGCATTTCTGAACAGATGTGTTTTGAGGGACATTTTAAACAATTGAAGACTAGGGGAGAGTCTGATGGGGGTAGGCAGGCTGTTCCAAAGGAAGGGAGCCGCCCACAAGAAGTCCTGCAAGCGCGAGTTGGCAGTAAGGGTGTGAGCAGCAGACAGGAGAAGGTCACCAGAAGAGCGGAGAGACAGAGAAGGGGCATATCTATGAATCAGGGAAGAAATGTAATAGGGGCTACAGTTGGTTAGAGCTTTATAAGTATGGGTTAGTATTTTTAAATGACACCTATAGGATACAGGAAGCCAGTGTAAGGATCGACAGACGGACAAGGTATGGGAGGAGCGACTGGTGAGAAAGATCCGCCTAGCGGTAACATTCATTACTGATTGTAGCGGGGCAGTTCGGCTTCTATTCGGCAAATATTAATAGTAGGTCAAATAGGGGTGAGAGAGTCTACATTGGGTTGGCTAGGGTCAGGAGCATGTCGTCTGCATAAGCAGAGACTTTGTATGTCCTGCCCAGTACATTTAATGATGGAGGTGCTCTAGTGACAGTGCAAACAGAAGCAGTGAAAGCTGACATCCCTGTCTAGTCCCATTATGTAAAATGAAGGGGGAGCCTGTTGACTATGAGATGGCTATCCGCACCTGTTGTTCAGCATATAGTGCTCTTATAAGGTCTTTGTACGCTCATGGGAAGTCCCAATTCATTAATAAACCAAAACAACATGGTCATGGTCTGCATCCAAGAACAAGACCAGAGAAGGCATCACAAATTAGCTGCCCAGATCAAGTTCACCGTCCTGCTAGTATTCTCAAGGACTATTTGGTTTGAACTTGACTTGGTTGGAATGTATGAGGTTCTGCAATAGTAAGTTTATTTTAAGCGCATGTATATTTGCCAGAAGTTTCGCATCCATGTCGCTCAGGGAGATTGGCTTATAGTTGCAGATTAATTGGTGATCTTTGCCCCCTCTTTTGGTACTAGGATCACATTCACTAGCTTTGTTTCCGGAGAGAGGGGTTGGCCTTCCTTCAGTTTCTTAAAAAGATAGATGAATGTTGAGACAGGACATGGTTTCCTGATGGTTTTCTAGTAACATTTTCTCCAAGCCATCAGGACCTGGGGCTCTAGATCCAGTTAGCGAAATTATGGTCTGCCCACTTCGTCTTGTGTGATATCCAACTCTAAGCCGGGCTTCCCCAAACTCCGGCCCTCTACATGTTGCTGAACTACAACTCCCATGATTCTATGAATGAAATAGATAGGCTTAGATTTATAGGAGTTGTAGTTCAGCAACATCCGGAGGGCCGGAGTTTGGGGAAGCCTGCTCTAAGCTATCCAGACCCTCTTAGGATAAGGCTAAGTTGCAGCTTTTTATAGAACACCTGGAGTGCTCATATGTATTCAGATTTATTTTCATTGTGGGTAGGTGAATGATAGTACATGTATAACATTTTGTAAATGCCTCTCTAATGTTATCCGTGGTAGTGGCCAGAACACCTTCCTTACTCTTATTCAACGTTATTTGCCTAAGCCCGGTTCGCAAGCAGAGAACTCATCTTGGTGGATTTCTCATAGAAATGCCTCTGAGACCACATCACTTGTAGGGCCACATCATCCTACGCACTGCCTGCAGTTCTCTCAAAGACGGGTGGCTGGGGTTGGACTTGTGCGTGGATTCCAGTTTATACAGGATGGCCTGGAAGACCAGCAGCTGCTTTATGTTTTCCTTCATTTTATGGGATGCTGCTGCTATAAAATGACTCCTAATTATGGCCCTATGGGCCGACAACCCAGTGGAGTAGTTCAGTTATCCCTCAGGACCCTAAAAGCCTCTCGAACACTTTCCTATCCCTAAGTAAGGAGGTGTTTATGCTGCACATTCACGAGGACGCTCTCTGAGGGGGGTTTAAGGTAATCGCAACTGTTTGAGAGTGACCAGTAAGAGCTCTGTCCTGGAGTGGGTGCCATTTGGTGTTGAGTAGAATGTGTAGTCTCATGTATATGCGTGTTGCACCCTCCAATATCTTAACCTCATTGTGCTGCCACTTTGTGGCAAACAGGGAGGCTGCAGATATTTCTTTCCCTTCTGCATATGCAACTGTGGGGTTTTGGCACACATAGCTGACACTTGTACTGTTTCCACTACAGTGGGCTCCAGGATGTGAGGTGGGTAGGGGCATTTGTTTGTTTTTTTGGCAATCTTTATTTTCAGTTTTGTTAACGGGACAAAAATAATACAGTGCAAAAAAGTTTTGGCAAGTATTTGATATCCGCAAAGAATTACAAACAATAATAAACATTGGACACGTATCTACTTTAGTACAGGTTAAAGTACATATTAGTAAGACATACTGTGAGAAGTCTTGTGGAACCAGCATGAACATCAGTACTATGAGGAGATCACCTTTGAGTGATACTGCCTTATACAAGTCTCCTGACAGTGTCCACAAAACAATCCCGTCACCCAACTAAGTCAATATACTACCTAATGAAAAGCAATGTCTCCATCCACAAGACTCCACCGAGACGATGGCAGAAGAATGACATGGAGATCGAAGAAAAAAAGAGGGGAGTGATAGCCTGTATACTGCGTCGACGTGCGAACTACCTCTCAGAGGTAGTTGTGAGCGTTTCCATGTCATATATCTCCTTCACCTTCACCATTCACTGCTGGAGAGTGGGCACCTCTGTGAAACGCCATCTAACCGGGATTAATAGCTTGGCAGCATTAAGAAAATGTTTGGTTAACGATTTCTTTTTTTTTTTTTAAAAACATTCTTTATTTGTTGATGCTCAGTAGAGTAAATGGGGTACAGAAATGAAAGGGTGGGGAGCAGTACATTAAATCTGATTCGGTTTAACAGTTGTAATTGTTTAGACAATACATTTTCAGTTTGTTTTGTTCATAGGGCTTGCGCAGAAGCTGTTATTACATTTAGCGGTCCCAGTCCCCGTGTTTGGTGTGGGGTTTGGTACGTGTTGGGGTGAGACTTGGGTTTGCGTTTTTGGCCTCTGATGTGGTTCCCCTCAGTTCTCCATCTCGGCCTTATTTCGGTGCCTGTGGTATAGGGGGTGACTGGGTATGGGGTATTGGACCTTACAGTTGTTGCTGGTATGTCGGATTCTTTTCACCTGATAGAGTTTGGTGGTGATGCAGCAGGGCTGTGGGTTCAGGTGGGGGGGAAACCAACTGGGTAGGTTAAGAACCTATGTACAGGTGTCAACATACCATGGTGGGGTTTGGCTTAGGGTGGTGAAGGTGCACCCAATGATCAGGGCTGTGGGTTCAGGTGGGGGGGAAACCAACTGGGTAGGTTAAGAACCTATGTACAGGTGTCGACATACCATGGTGGGGTTTGGCCTAGGGTGGTGAAGGTGCACCCAATGATCAGGGCTGTGGTTGTATGACTATTGTCAGGCCTTGGTGATATGGGAGCGGTTTTAGTCTGTCGAGTGAGAAGGGTGGGGCAATGGCAGAGTGGTGTACGTCTGTGGCCCTGTCATTGTAGGTGGGGTTCGTTTAGCCACGGGTCCCATATTTTGTGAAATTGTTTGGAGGTTTCGTGTAGTTTGGCTGAGATCCTGTCCATGTCTTCCACTTCCCTGGTTTTGTGTATGATTGTTTGTAGTGTGGGGACATTTGGTGTGCCCCAGAGTTCTGCCACTGCCCGTCTCGTTGCTAGGGCTATTCTTTGCATCATTTTGTTTTGGGCTCTGGACAGGTCCTCTCTTGGCCTGGAGAGGAGCCATGTCCATGGGTCTAGTGGTATGGTGGTTTGTAGAAGCTCTGAAACTAGTGAGGCCACTTCTGTCCACAGTGGGGCCAGTTTGGGACAGTGCCACCAGAGGTGTATGTATGTGCCCACGTGTCCACATTGTTTCCAACAGATGGTTAATGATTTCTTGTAAATCGAGAGGGGCATTTTAATCGGATGAAGGTGCATCGGGAGAGGCTGGAAAGGGAGGTCCATATCTAGGATGTCTCTAATCACCTCGTGTACAGCAGTCCAAAAGGACTCCAATCTACTGGGCGATCACCAATAACTTGTATTTTAGTTCCTGTTGTTTGGAACATATAGCACTCTGGTGAATGTGAACCTTCTTCCACTGTTGGTCTGAAAACATAACTGTGACTCGTTCTCACCTGGCCATATTATTTCATGGGTTATATGTAATGTTGACACTCCATCCAGGGTTATGGTGCAGGTATAGAGGTCACCCTTTCTAATAACCCCTAACAACGTAATCCAATAATACAAAATATACCACACTCATAAATAGATGCAAAATATATATTTTTAGTACAAAAAAACCTTTCTACAATAGTATATAAAGGGAAAGACAAAAAGGCTACAACAAATGTGAAGCCCAAAGTGCAACTTGCCCTGTACCTATGCAGTATAATATAGACTTAATAAGAAGAAACATGTCAAAAAATACATAGGTAAACAAAAATTAAATTAATCAACCCCTTGTTTAGAGCAGTAGTGACTGCATGAATGGTCAATAACTGACTGAACCAGTCAGATGCAGAATACACCTTGACATATAATCCACTGAGAGTTATGTACATACAGATATCCTGGAATAAGAAAAAAAATCTGAAAAAAATATCTATACAGAAAATAGAAAAAAGGAAAAATGTGAAAAAAAAACAAAAACTGAAAAATGTGTAGCTCGAAACAGGTTGGATCTCACCCATATGGAAAAAACACCAGTCCTGGTCCAGTGGGTGAGTATATCCACTAAAAGTGGTGATGGTGGGAGGTTGATTCTTCTGTATGGGTAGTCTATGTGGAGCTAAATGTCCACATTGCAGTATGGCTCCATCCAGGGGATGTAATCCTCCGTTGGGTGTGCAGTTTAGGCATGGGTACAGGCGTTGCCATACTGCAACGGGCATTTGGCTCCACATAGACTACCCATACAGAAGAATCGACCTCCCACCATCACCACTTTTTCCATTATTGTTTTACATATGAGTAAGGAGGCTGAACAACTTAAGCAATTGAGGACACCACACCCAAAATCCAGCACTCCATAAAGACATTTACCTCTGTGTGAGACTTTGTTTTTGGCTTTTAGTTCATCTTTTTGATGATTTTATTAGAACTTTAGTCCCACTGAGTTAGTGAGTTATATTGTCTTAGGACTATTGTGTATATACTATTATGACTACTTTTATTATTAATACCTACCTCTTTGCGCATCCCTTATTCTGTTTTTTGTGTCACATGTTTTATCTTCAGAGGGTTTGAGGGTTACCCTTTGTTGGGCCACTGCCTGTATTCTATTTATATTCGGGCTGACCCTTCTCGCACTCTTTTTCACATTTGTTGTAGCCTTTTTGTCTTTCCCTTTATATACTATTTTAGAAAGGTTTTTTTGTACTAAAATATATATATTTTGCATCTATTTATGAGTGCGGTATATTTTGTATCACATATTTCATGGGCTCTTTCGGAAGTAATGTGTATAAAACAGTGATTACTCTAGGTGGGTGTTCCTGAGCTACGCGCAATTCTTTAAATGTCGTCAGTTTCCTGTGGAATAGTTGTCATTCATTCATAACTTGGGAATAGCGGAATCTGTCCAGTCCTGTCAGGAATTTGTTCGGGAGCAGGTCAGGAAGTGGAGTCAATATGTTCAAGGTGCACCATTGTCACATGTAAGTCCAATCAGACTCGCTAAAAGCACTAATGGTGTGAATCTGTCCGCAACCGGGTATGGGTGTTTGATACCATTTGCTGGGTGCCAGGAGCAGATTATGCCGAAGCTAGCAGATTATTCACTTTGGCATGGTAGACAGGTCCCTATACTAGTGAGTTTTTAAGCAGTTATGCTTACTGGTTACTTGAGTTTGCACTTTGTCCTTCGGAAGATATAATGCAGTTCTTAGATGATGTCTCTGGTGATCCAGTTTTATTTTTTTATGAAGTTATTTAAAAATGCTGAGGTATCAAGCAGAGGTTCTTGAGAATTCTAACTCAAAATGACTTACAATTATTCATCCTGTGGTAACAGAATTAGGATTATTTCCTTCACTAAATCATTGCTTCAAATGATGTACAGTGCTTGAAATGACATTTTGTACTTTCAACAACATGGCCTTGGAACAAAATCCTACATCTATAATATAGGTCTATGATTAAGTGGTTGTAATTGTGAAATGTGTTGGGGCACTGTGCCACTCCTTTCTCCCGCTTTTCTACTTTTTTTCATTCATGCCAAAATTGAATATTCTCCTACTCTAACTTGGTATTGCTTAAGATCTCATTTTTTTTTTGCTTGTGAATTGCACTTTACTTGATCAACATACATAGACAAAAATTATCAGATTTGTTTTAATTTTCCTGTCTTTGCTTCTTTTAAGGTTCCTCACAGACTTCTGACTTTTCAGTTGGTGCCTGGGGTAGATGTATGTGTTCTTTGTGGGCCAAGTCCAACTCTGCAGAAGGTTGAAACAGAGGTAGGTCCCTAGCTAGAGATTACTAAAGTGTACCTATCACAGTACACATGAGTTTCACTCTTTTAAAAGAAATTTTAACTTCTCACATATTGTTAGCGTTCTTTCCTGACCAGGCTCTGCTTACAGTTTGCCAACCATATCTTTACCTGGAGAACTTAACATTTTATACACAGACTCTTGTTGATTCAACCGGTTGGAAAGAATAATCAAACTGACAAACAGAGTTTCAGGTGCAATTTGACAATTTGTTAATTTATTGATAAAAGCACAGGGTTTATGAAGGTATAGTTTCAATAGATCTATGAGTGGCACAGAATCAAAATAATACTAACACTTACTTGGTTAGTAAGTTATAGGGATGTGCATGGGCAAAAAATTTGATTTGGTTCAGCAGTTCTGAAATTTGGGACTTCGGCAGTTCCCTAACCCTACCCGGAAACCCTACAACCAAAACAACTTTAGCTTAAAGGAACACTATAGTGTCGGGAATACAAATGTGTATTCCTGACATTATAAGTTTAAAATAGCAGTTAAGGCCCTTCAAATTAAAAAGGTGATTTACTTACTTTTATTCCAGCGCAAAGGGTAGAGTCGCAGCGGGCCCCGAGCCCTCTCTGCCCCCTCGGCTGAGATAATCAGACTATATGATCTCAGCCAGTCAATTGCTTTCTTATAGAAAAGCATTTCAAGGCTATCGCGCATGTGTATTAAAACGCCACTCTGCCCCAATCAGCATCTCCTCATAGAGATGTATTGAATCAATGGGGAAAGTTCAGCTCCTTCGTGCAGCACTGACCCAGGAAGCACCTCTAGTGGCCATCTGAGTGAGTCTGAGAAGCAGGTGTTTACATTAATATGTCTGCAGGGACAGACTAAACACACCAGAACAACTACATTAAGCTGTAGTTTTTCTGGTGACTATAATGTCCCATTAATGAAGTAGTTTTGATGTATAGAGCATGCCCCTGCAGTCTCACTGCTCAATTATCTGTCATTTAGGAGTTAAATCACTTTTTTAATGCAGCAATAGTCACACCTTCCGGTATGAGACTTACACAGCCTTCCTAAACACTTCCTTAAAAAGAGTCATCTAATGGGAGTGTCATCTAATGTTAACACTTCCTTTATTGCAAATTCTGTTTTATTTAGAATTTCTTTTCTCCTGCTCTGTTAATAGCTTTCTAAACCCTGCAGAAGTCATCTGTGTGTGTGTGATTAAAGTTCAACTTACAGAGCAGGAGATAAAAACTTTAAAAGTAAGTTAACATCTATGGGAAAATGAAAGCATTTTGTTTTCACAGGCTGTGTCAGTCACAGCCAGGGTAGGTGTGGCTAGGGCAGTGAATTGAGCAGTGCAACCTCTCTGCATGATCTAGCTATAGATATAGAGGCACGATCTCTACACAAAAACTGCTTAATTAAGCTAAAGTTGTTTTGGTGACTGTCCTTTTAACCCATTAATTGCTGCTCACCAAATAAATTCTTAATACCCTTATATGTTTATATTTTATCACTGCAAACATTATGCTCTATATTTAGATATGTGTAAAGCATCTTTAGTACTAAACTTAACCCTTGATGTTATGACGCACTATAGTCGAATGTTGTGGCAGATGGGTATAAGATAACAGTAGAAAAACAAGTTTATCTGAGGTTATGTAGCAGGCAAAGTTAGTCAACATATTTAGTATTTAACTTAAAAACGTATTCCTTCTTGTTAATTTTTTCAGAGTGGTATAATTTTAGAATGTTTCAGAATATCTAACACAAACATAGTGCTAGCAGAGTTTGATAAATTTATAGATTGGAAGAATAACCTACTTAAAGGGACACTATAGTCACCAGAACAACTATAGCTTAATGTAGTTGTTCTGGTGAGTATAATCCTTATATACCGGCATTTTCATGCAAACCTTTTCAGAGAAAATGCAGTGTTTACATTGGGACACCCTAGGGACACCTCCAAGTGGCCACTCCTCGGATGGTGCTGCACACACTCTGCATGGGGACGCTGAATTCTCCTTATAGAGATGCATTAATTCAATGCATCTTTATGAGGAGGTGCGGATTGGCCAAAACAGCATTTGGCCCCGCCCCCTTGCCGATTTTAGTCTATCCAATGCTTTCTCCATTTCTGTTTATGTCTCCAAGGGGGTGGGGCTAGTGCCGGCTGACCCACACGGCGCTGGAAGTAAGGTGAGTTTTGTTACCTTTTTAGGGGGCAAAGAAGAGGGGGGGCAAGGCACCCTAATGGTGGGTTTAACACTTTAGGGTCAGGAATACATGTTTGTGTTCCTGACCCTATAGTGTTCCTTTAAAGAGATACTCTGTGTACCAAAATACATTCTCTACCAATAAGGAGGTAACTCCCTTTGTTTATGCAGCCCTATTCACACCTCCCCTGGCTTTGACTCACACAGCCTCCATATACACTTCCTGAAAAAGACATGTTCACTGGGAACCCATACATATACAGAGTATGTTTCCTTTAGAAGTTATTTTTGTAGGTTCTGTTAATTGCTTGTTAAGTGCAAAGCAGCCTCCTGTCTGAGATTCTCGAACAAGAAATCAAAGCTTCCAAGCCTACAAACTCGTTTGTGCTGAATTAGGTCCCAGAATGTGCTTCTGCAGTTTGAAGATTTAAAGAAAAAAATATTTTACTCTTATAATTTATTCATATAATTTATTAAATTATTTAATAATAATATATAATAATATATATATATATATATATATATATATATATATATAATATGATTTCCCAATATTTTCTTTCATAAATGTATTTTAGTAGAGCTTGCAAATTCGCTTACGGTGTCCACAGTGCTATTGAGAAGCATTTAATTAGACATTGCCAAGCATCAGCAACCAAGTTTGTGATATGCAAAAAAGGGTTGTTTTAACTTGGCTACATAACTTGCAAAAGAGGTAGGATTTAAGGGACTTAATACAATTATTTAGAAACATTTAATAAATGCATCAAATGCGATAAAAACATGCATTTTTTACTTAGACCTTACTTTTAAAAATAGGTCCCTCTCCTACCTGTCAATCAGTTCTGCAAGATTGAGTCAACATACACCTAGATTTCAAGAATTACTTGGCAGGAGACAGAATGAGAACCCTCTTACAGATGCTTCTCCTGCACTCCTCACAGTGTACTGTGGTTGCTGTAGCTACCCCCTAGCCAGCATTTCTTCTGCTTACTAGAATAGTGTTGCCATGGAATGACTGACATCACTAATTCACATGATGCAATGAAGCCAACCTATTGCCTTCATAGGATAGGATTGCTCTATTAGTTAGCCTTATCCGGACTGCAGGTGGTTGTTATAAATTGTGTTACAGCCACGGTCAGTTGGACTGAAGGTAACTAAAGATTTTTCTCAGAGTTTTTAATTTAATAGATCATATTTCTCTATGGCAACCTGTATATTCACAGTCTGCTGAAGGGAATTAAGGGGTCCTCTCATTATTCTATAATAAGGTCACATTGTAATGGTGTTAGAATTATTGCATACTTCATGTATTTTACAGCAGGTATACACAGTTTCAGTCTCTCCAGCCTTCATGTACCATGATTTTGATGATGCCTTATCACTTACTACCTGCCCTTTCTTTTTTTATGTAGCTGGTGGAAAGGTTCTGGAAACCTGTTTTGGATCCCATTAAGTCATGTTTGAGAGTACAGATGAGATCTTTCCCGGCCTCCGTGCCCCTGCATCATGGTATTCAGGGGTAAGCACAACACCATTTAGTGGGTATAATCCATAATACATATCAAACATGCAAATGAAATACAACTTTGCAAACACTCACTAGCCAGATATCCAGAATAAAAATATAATGCACGTAATTTCTTATCACTGATTGATTGTTTTGATTATTCATGTCAGCAGTATTGTCTGTGAGCTTTAAAGAGATTAGTGCAATTTTGCACTAGCTAAAATACTTTGTGTGTGGAGTGTTACATGAATTGTTATTCCTTGCAAGAACGAATGCTTTCTGTGGGATGACCACCAGGGCTTGCAACATTATGTCCCCCCATCCTTGGTAAAAGGTAAGAAGAAGGGAGTCGGAGACAGATAGATTTTCACATCTCACCCACCTACACACATCATAGATCTTATGCACCCTTCACACACAAACAAACACTACAACCTTCACACACACTCCTCACCCACACATTACACCCCTCTCGCACACACACTCCACCTCTCGCGCACACACACACTCCACCTCAGGCGCACACACACACACTCCACCTCAGGCACGCACACACACACACACACACTCCACCTCAGGCGTGCACACACACACACTCCACCTCAGGCGTGCACACACACACACACACTCCACCTCAGGCGTGCACACACACACACACACTCACTCCACCTCAGGCGCACACACACACACTCTACCTCAGGCGCACACACACACACTCCACCTCAGGCGCACACACTCCACCTCAGGCGCACACACACTGCCCACTCACACAAACCACTTGACTACTATCATGTAGGCCCCCCTGGTGCTGCCAAAACAGCTCTGATGCATTAAGACAAGGACTCCACAAAACCTCTGAACAGAACCATTAAGTCCTGCGAGATGTGGCCTCCATGGATCTGATTTGTTGTTCAAGCACATCCCACAGATTCTCAATAGGATTGAGATCTGGAGAAATTGGCGATTAAGGCAACATCTTAACTCTGTCATGCTCCTCAAACCATTCCTGAACAATTTTTGCAGTATGACAGGGTGCATTATCCTGCTTAAAGATGCCACTGCCATCATGGAACACCATTGTCATGAAGGTGTGTATGTGGTCTGCAACAGTCTCTTGGTGGGTGATACGTGTCAAAGTAACATCCATAAGAATGCTAGGACCCAAGGATTCCCAGCAGAACATTGCCCACAGAATAACGTTGCCTCCATCGGCTTGCCTTCTTACCATAGTGTAGACTGCTGCCATCTCTTCCCCAGGTAAATGACGCAAACGCACCCAGCCATCCACCTGATTTAAAAAAAAAAAAAAAATGTAATATCAAACCAGAAAACATTCTTTCATTGCTCCATTGTCCAGTTTTGACAGTCACGTCCCCAGGCACTTTCTGCTGTGGACTACGCAGTCCCGTAAACAGCAAATTGCTGTGTACTGTCATATGTTCTGACACATTTCTATAATTTGCAGCATTACATTTTTCAGCAATTTGAGCTACAGTAGCTTTTCAGTCGAATTGGACCGGACTGGCTAGCCTACGCTCCCCACTTGGGTGCCCATGACCTTGATGGCAGTTCATAGGTTGCCCTTCCTTGAACCACTTTGTCAGTGAACTGAATGTTCACTTGCTATCTAATATATTCCACCATTTGGCAGGTGCCATTGTAATAATATAATCATTGTTATTCACTTCACCTGTCATTGGTGGTAATGTTGTGGCTGATCAGTGTATATCTTATGGCAGGGGTGGGCAATCTGCGGCCCTCCAGATGTTTTGGACTACATCTCCCATAATGCTCTTAAGGCAATAATGCTAGCAAAGCATCAAGGAAGATGTAGTCCAAAACATCTGGAGGGCCGCAGATTGCCCACCCCTGTCTTAGGGTAAACCACAGGAGAAAACTTCCTTTAAATGCATTCGTTAATTCAGTAAATACCAGGTGAAAGAAATAGTAAGTAACTACGTCCATGATTCAAGTTAATTATTTAATCACGCAGAAAGTAATTGTAGACCCGTTGGTTAATGTTTTATTAGGCACAGATCTAAATTCAGTTGGGAAATTTGTGATAGTGTTGTTTTTAATCGTATTTCTGTCAGAAAACTGGTGCACTTACAACATATTTACAGGGTTATTTACTAAAGTCAGAACTGGAATTCAAAGTGAATTTCAAATTTAAAAGGACACTATAAGCATTAAAACAACTTTAGCTTAATGAAGCAGTTTGGTTATATAGATCATGCCCCTTGCAAGAAATACATCACTGTATGCTGGCTTTGGCAATAAAAAAAAAAGTGAATTGTTTTTCATTGGGGTTAAAGCAATAAACCAGTTGCAAAAGCTGTAGATCTCGTGTCTGCAGCCCTTGCAAGTCCTCCCCTCCTAACCCTGCCCTGAATTTCTATACATGCCCAATCACAGAATTCCCAATGCAGCTCAATGAGAAGTCTTTGCAAGGCAGGAGCTCTGGGAAATTGCTGCCTCTTGAGTTTAGTTCCACTGAGATAAACAAACCAGGAAGTAACAGGACCTGTTATCTGATTGACAGCCTGTGGATAAATGGTTCATAAAAGTGCCAATTTCTTTAAACATGTTTTTGCAAAGTAAGAAAAAAAAGAGGACCCACTCTTCTCACATAATGTACTTCAGCAAGGTGAAATGCTCTAGGAATGTCTGGAGGTTTTAGCTTATTTTATAATGCAGGAGGTCCTTTTTGTCTAAACCAACCTATTCCACCCACTGTCTGCATGTAGAGTTCTCATTTAATTCAAAAAAGAGTGGACGTTAATGCTCCTTTCCTGCTTTACTAATATGCCTGAACCAACTGGAGAATATATGGACATTGGTCTTCTTTGTGAGTCAGTGGGGCATCAGTCAACACATCCAGCCACTGGGACATTTGGGAAAGTAGGAGATTGGTCTATATAGCCAACCAGTGGAACATTGGTCTTTACAGATGGCCACTGAGACATCTATGGCGACTGGGGCATAGATCTTGCTGCTTGGACTGTGTTGACCACATGAAGGCCATTGGCAGTGGCACCAGTGTTAATATAGTTGACTTTTACCTGCTCTCTAAACATAATGAACTTCTCTTTCATTGCAGACTATTACTGGTTAACCGGGATTTCAATAAAAGTTTATACACTGTTCAGGCTCACCCAGTGGAAGCTATGCAAGCACCAGGTAATTTTTTATTTTTTTCATAAGCCCTCTTTTATTCAAATGGGAAATTTTTCCTGTAAACAATTACTCCATTGTGTGTGCTTTGAGCTGTTTGGTCTGATCAAGTGATCTTAAATAGAAGTAGAAAAAGGTACTTTTTTTATTCTGGTTTGCTTGAAATAAAGGCTATTGTTTAAAAAAGCCACTCCTGTATCTGTCGCAGGTCGTGCATATGAAGCTGTATTTTTATGAAATCATCCTGTTTTACAGGATTGTTTTTATTTTTTTGATGTGAACTTCATTATAAACATACTATGTAATGTAAAAGTTCACACTCATCTGCCGAGGGTAAAAACAAAACAGTCAGTATGCAGCTGAACATGTTTTCCATCGCGACACAAACTCCTTATCCATTACTGTGTACAAAAAGTAATCTAAGGTAATATAATTTCAATATGTAAAAAGCAAGAGTACACACTATATGCTGCCAAATACAAAAAGACCCTTTAAGGGAAAGTGTTCCCTATCAAGACACTTGAGATTAGTAAAAGCAAAAAAGAAAAAACAAAAAGGGTACTAAATAAAATAAAATAAATAGATAGATAAAGGCTGTATATAACCAAACACCAAATAGGTGAATAATAGGAATATTATACAACCTTAGATAACAATGTGTATATTTTACTGAATATCCAGCACCCCATTTGTGGAACTCTGGAGCTTCCTGCTAGCCTTTGAAGTCATGGAAAATTACAGTATCTGTATATGCAAGTAACAACAGTAAACTTAGTCGTTTATTTAATTCTATGTACTGTCATGGTTTGTATATTTGATTTATTTATGCATATTATTTATTTATCTCCTCCCTCCCCCACAGAACTGCAACTTACTTTGGAACAGAGACGATCAGCTCTGCGCACCTTTTATACTCTTGCCATCTCACGCTATTTCACATCAGACTCCAGCGATGGAAAAACAAGTATCGGTACGTTTTTATTTTAATTGTAGGGCGTCTCAAAGATCTATACAGTTGTAATTAAAAGGGAAACAATTTCTCTGGAAATTAAATCACAGAATAAAATATTGAATATTAATTGTGTTAATCAGTTTTTAATGTGACACTTATTTTCCATATATACGTATATTAAAATTGCAGCAATTATCTTCACGCTCTATTTTAATCCTAGCAAAGCCTGGGAACATATTCAGAAGTCAAACCATTGTTCTAGCTGTCACAATGTTTCTACTTTGTCTTTTAGAATTCTAATGAAATACTCCTTATTTTAGTGGGCTTGTACATGCATATGCAGCTTATCACTGATCTCTAGAGGACACAGGAACATTTATCTTTTTTTTTTTTGGAGAAAGAATGACACACACACACTGATCAAACTACAGCAAGCATGTCAAACTCAAAGTCTAGCACGGGCCACATAAACAAGGTTTAAGTTTATGTGGGCCGGAAAAAAAAAAACACCTTAAATTTTAATCGAAACTTAGGTTTATTTAGAAAAGTACAGTGTAAAAAAAACAGCATCCCCCTCTACTAAACCACAGCACCCCCCTCTACTAAATCCCAGTCCCGCCCTCTACTAAACCACAGCAACCCCCTCTACTAAATCCCAGTCCCGCCCTCTACTAAACCACAGCAACCCCGTCGGAATGTGACGTGGCGTTGCGCGCCTCCAGGTACTCCACTGTCCAGTTGCAGCCAATGCAACACTGACCAACACACACTCACAGACACACACTCACATAATTTTCTTTATTGCTCCCTACCTTTTGGAGCCGATGTGGGGCCTCTCTCTCTGGGATCCAGTGGGGATCTTCTATCTGCTCCTCACTGCTCCCTCGCGCAGTTTAGTGGTGCCGGAATATGACATCCTATTTTGGCGCCCGGCTTCACTATAGACGGCACGCGCGAGGGAGCAGGAACACTGAGCTCCCTCACTGGCCCTCCTCCCCGGCCGGGTAAGTTTAAGCAAAGTAGGTACCTACAATGTTGGGAAAGCAGGTGCCTACTCTGCTATAACACTAAGCATGTTCTCGCGGCTCGCCGGGCCACAAAGATGCCCATTGTGGGCCGCTAGTTTGACATGCTTGAACTACAGCATCAATTTAAAGAGTGCTATCACATGTCTGGAAATTACATCTGTAATTAAAACCTTAACAAAATCACATAGAATACTTGTAACCTCTTTTCAAGATTTAGCAGTTAACATCACAATTCAGTTCAGTCCCAGGACAAAGCACATTGCTTTGTGAGAGAATAGACAGAAACATTGTTTACTTTTCTCCCTATCTCTATGCCTTGTCTGCAGGGCCGGACTGGGAATTCAAAGCAGCCCTGGAAAAAAATGTATGCCAGCCCCATAAGTTCTTGTGCCACGTAATGTGTATGTGTACACTGGCCGCTGTGACCGGGCTCGTCACTCCAGGGGACCCAGCCGCCCTGCAGACCCCTGCAAGCGGGTGCCCGCCATCATCATTTGCGGGCCCAGCCCGCGCGGAAAACTGCATGTTAAGGTGCCCATCGGGTGGCCCATGCTGTCAGGGCCACCCGATGCGTATGGATTTTCAGGGGGCCCGGTCAGCGCTGCAGCGTTTTGAGATCATCACACGCTGGGAGGAAGTGACTCCCCGTCACTCAGCCCAGCTTTCACTGAGAGCCCGTGCGGGAGGAAGCAGAGGGAGTCAGAATAGGAACTCTGACTCCCATCAACCTGAGCCACCACTGGATCCCAGGGAAAGTCACCCTCCTGCACTTAAAAGGTAGGAAACAGGAGGGTGACTTAAATATTATGTGTGTGTTTGTATGTATGTATGTATGTATGTGTCTGTCTGTTTGTATATATGTGTCATTGTATGTCTTGTGTGTGTCTGTCTGTCTGTATGTATGTTTGTCATGTGTGTGTGTCTATGTGTGCGTGTCTGTATGTATGTGTGTCTCGTCTGTATATATGTGTGACTGTCTGTCTGTTTGTATGTGTGCCTGTCTGTATGTATGTGTCGTGTCTGTATGTATCGGTCTGTCTGTGTCTCTGTATGTGTGTGTGTGTGTGTGTGTGTGTGTCTGTCGGGGGAGGGAGTTAGAGGGGGGCCCCATGGATCAGTTTCGAACCGGGGACCCATGGGTTGTGTGTACGCCACTGTGTGTGTATGTGTGTGTATATGTGTGTGTATGTATATATATATATATATATATATATATATACACATACATACATACATACATACACATATATACATATATAAATACATACACACACACAGTTCAATCTTGCCCTGCACTCCTGCTTTAATATAATCACTGTTTTAATACCGGGTGCTAAACTGTGGCTTTCTAATTATGTGATTTAGGCAGCCGCCTAAAGCCTCGCGCTGCCTGGGGTCTCGCTGCCACCTAAATCACCTTAGGGCACAGTGACCGAGGACACAGTGACCGAGGACCCGACACCAGCAGGGGCCCCGGCGGCTTGCTCTGTATGCCGCCAGTTGTGAGGCCCCTCCAGTCTGCCTGGCCAGAGAGCGCCAATCGCAGACACAGGTCTGCAGCTTTGTAATATGCAGAGCTGCAGACCATGTGTCTCGCGAGATCTGGCCATTCAGAGCGTTGCCGCGGGTTACCACGGATCTCGCAAGATACATGGTCTGTGGGGGGCTATAAAAAGGTATTTAATTCCTTACCAGCACCCCCCTCCATCCCAACATTATCACCCCCCTCACTCCATCAATAGCCCCTTTCCATCAATACCCACCTCCCTCACTCCATCAATACCCACCTCCCTCACACAATCAATACAGTCACTCCATCAATACCCCCCTCCCTCACACCATCAATACCCACACCAACAATACCCACTCCTCCTTTACACCATCATCACCAACCCCTCCTCACTCAATCAATACCCCCCTCCTTCAGCTCACTGACAAACAAGATCATTGAAACACACATGCTCACTACACACACTCACTACAGACACACTACACACACACTTACTACCAACACTCACTACACACACACACACACACACACACACACTTACTACCAACACTCACTACAGACACACACTCACTACAGACACTCACAGTATTTAAGCCCTACCTGGCACTGAAGTATTCTCTGGGAGGCCACTTTCAGGCCCGTTCCTGCAGCAAGGTCCACTGCTTGAGTGCAGGAGGCAGGGGTTACGTGCATAGGCGGGGCTTCCATACTGGGCAGCGCTACCATGCGGGGGCGTAGCTACCATGCTGGGCAGGTAAGTGCTAAGGAAGGTGTTGGGAATCTGGTATGGAGGCTCAGTGCTCCCTCCGGCTGTTAGCGCCTTAATGCAGCCGCACCAGCCCCCAGCACCTGCCTCCTGAATTCCCTCGGACTGGCAGAAGCTGTCACAGTCCGAGGGAAAAATTATTTAAATAAAATATTAGGGCTTCCTGCCAGCCCCAGGTGCCCCGGCCCACCGGGAAAATTCCCGGTATTCTGGTGGGCCAGTCCAGCCCTGCTTGTCTGTGCTGACTGCCAGGTGCAAGTGGCGGAGCTTATAACAATATTTGATTGGAAGCTCTTTGCAAAAAGAGCTAAATACAGTGAAGTGGATTTTTAAATCTAATTTTAAGTTTCAAGCATCCATAAACACTCAATGTATTTGATAAAGGTCATAAATAGACATAATATTAAAAATACTGGCATATGATAGTGTCCCTTTAAATGTAATTAATTATAATTAGAAATAGACTCGCCAGAGTTTTATGCATGAAAAATAGACCTAACTCTAACTGTGTCATTTGCTGTTAAATCTTAAAAGTGATGGGAGGTTTTGTTTTTGGTCTCTTATTGATATACTGCTTACAGGACAAATTAGATATTATGTAACCAGCATTATTAAAAAACAAAACAAAAAACAAGCTAATTGACACTCTAAAACGTCTCTCTCTTTTAGCATCTTTGAGTTCTCCACTGTACACCTTCTTTGTCAGGCAGTACATGTAGGCTTATGACTGCTAATTCTGGGTCACACCCCTACCATCCCCAGGCTAGGGAGCTCCCAAGCATGTCGGCTCGAGTTGATGTCAAGGATCTCTCACATAACAATGATGTAATTATTATTATTATTATTATTATTATTATTATTTATTTTTATTTTTTTAATTAACACACCCAACACAAAAGCACTCATCAGCTAAAGTCTACTGACTTACAAGAGCATTATGCTGTGGAGGAGTCAATGGCTCCCTAAGCTTCTTCATGAAAACAGGGAAACGTATATGTTCAAATACAGCAGACATTTTTTTTTATATTACTGTTCACATAGCTTGTAATAACCTTGTCTAGCAGCCATGAGTAACCTGAGAATTTTTTTTTTTTTTTTTTCTTATGTTACAATACGAAGAGCATGGTTTCAAATACTTATGTGATGCTTTGCTTATTTAGGGGTACCAGATTATTTTTCAAAATCCATAACTGATCAAGTAAAACAAATATGTGACAGATCCATGAGTAAATAATATATATATACATATAATACAGCTGGTATTTAGCAAGTTAGCCAAGCTCTCTCTCTACATGGTTTGATAGGAAACAGAGCCATATTTCATTTCAAGGTTTTAACCGCTGTATCAAATGATACTGTAGAGAAAATACTATGTAGGTGGCGCCTATTGCTTTCCTCGTTCACACATATGTCAGCACAATGTTTCAAATTATCATTGAAATCTTGTAAACAACTGGTCTTTATTGCTCTCATGGTGGACGGTTTTTGATATGAAACATATTTGACGGGCATTATCCTGCCCTTTCAACATAGAGTAGTTTTATGCATCTTTCTCACCGATTAAGTTTTCAAAGTAACTACTCATATCAGTAGCTTATCATTTCTAAAACATAATTAGCAATAAGTTGGAGGACTCCAGGAACATGTCCCGAAAAGACATAGGCCTTGATCACAATCTGTTATTTAATAATTCTGTACATATTAACAGCTGCCAATCAACCTTTAACAATTTTGACACTATCATAAATAAAACCTTTCCAATGCTTTAGGGGTAAACAGTGTATCCTTGCAACCTTATTTTATAAAAATGAAGATTTCTAGAGAAATTGTCACTTTTATAACACGTCCTTGGTACCATGATTGGTACCTCCTTCGATCCCTTCCTCCTTTGCCTTCAGCACTTGTTCAGGGCTGAAGTGAAGCCTTTCATGGAGAGATAGGTAATTTTGAGAAGTTTTGAGAAACATTACGCAACAGCGCAGGGTGACAATTCCTATGCATTAGTCCCGCCTAACAATCTTTTTCTAAAATAAGCATTGGATTGGCTGGGAGATCATTACTAGAGATGATCTCCCAGACATGTAGCAGTGCTGCTGCAGTGAAACCTGCTCACAATCGGATTAGAGTTAGCTCTGTACCTCTAATGAGAGGTGCCCTAAGGATAAAAACGAACCTTCTAATGAAAAAAGTGTTTTCCTGGTGGAGTGTTAGGAATTTACATGTTTTCTAGTTTGGATGTTTTATAGTACATTCATACAAGTAATGAACGTAAAATACAAGCAGAACCAAATATAAAATTTAAATGTTACCATTGTTTTTTTTGGTTCAATAAGAGCGAATGAATGTATAAATCTTATCTGTATGAATTAAGGATCCTGTTAATCTCTCTCTCTCTCTCGATGGCCTTCTTTAGAGATAGATAAATTAATTTACATACAGAGAGAGAGAGATATAAAATAGACCGTAACCAATTTTCATGATCTCCTTTGGATTTGCATGCGAACTGCGTAAGGATTTGAAAAGATATAAAAGGTGGCAAAAAGAGATACAGTTCTAGAATGCGGAATGTTGGCCTCTTACAAACAGACCATGAAATCCAAGAATTTGTAAATGCAGTGTCAATCCAATTGGAAGTGTCCCCTTAATTACTTGCAACATTCACAATGGTTGGTTCTTGACTCTGAGGGGTATATCCACTTAGACCATGTCTGCCAGTGCACCTGAGATTAATTATTTGCGGTACTTTTTAGATGTCTTTATTTAGTGACTGTCACGGGTGGCGGTATGGAAACCGGGACCCCTGAGTGCCTGATGAGAAGTTGGGAGTCTTCAGCATGAAAGTGGATAATCAGGGCCTGGTGCTGGGTAACCACACGCCCCCTGGTGTTGAGCACCAGCGTTTGTGCAGCCACAAACCAGAACCCTGATGCAGCTACAGCGGATCCCAGGAACTAGGAGCTTGATATGCAGACCTCCCAGAAACTGGATAGGGGGGCTCTGCAGCAGACATGTATCCAGTACAGAAACAAGGCAAGACTAGAACAGGCACCAAACATGAACGGGTGTGGCAACATAAAACAAACATTTAAATGAAACCTGGACACTGGGAATCCCAGGGATGGATTACAGGAATGAACCCAGAAAAACCCAGCATAAAGAAAACCAGACATAGAATAGAAAACCAGAAAAACTAAACAAGAATTGTAAAAAGAGTACTGGATACCAGAAGCCAAGGCCAGACATCTCCACAGAACAGAACAGTAGGATGTGACAGTGACTACTAATGATGACCTGGCACAACCCTGCCAGAAACACGAGCGGACTTTCAGTATGCCAACTTTTTGGTAAATAAGGCCATGGAATTGACATTGTCTATTTAATATAATATTTCCCAGTGTTGAAGAAAAGCACACAGTAGGGTCATGGAACGTATGTCCCATACCTCGGAAAAGGGAGTATATGAAGAATTATGAGTTGTGACTTGATTTACATGATTCTCTCGGCTCTTTAAATTACAGAATTCTGGAAACTGATTAGTTCTAGGCTTAGCGTGAGTTGGTAGATGTTAATTGGCTGTGCAAATTTAGCCCAACATGCCTATCAGCTCTTACAGGAGGACATTTTGGCCTGAAGAAAGGTTTTGTCAAATCATATTACCTCCTGGCACTTTATATTTCATAAAGACATTAAGGTACATTTCTACATTGTTGTTTTTGAGAGAAACTTCACAATATTGCAAGTTCTATCCACAGGCCTACTTACAAACATGCATGGAGTTGGGATTTGACATGTGGCTGCTTGGATTCTATGCTGAACCCACATGTCATTAGAAGCACACTCAGTGCCTTGAAGTAGTAACAGGAAGTTGAATGATTGAGAAGTGTTTCTTAACCCCTTAACGACTCAGGGGATTGCCATAACGACGAGTGACGGACCTTGTCCGTCACCCGTTAAAATTAACCCCGGATCACCGCTATCGCGGGGTTAATGGTGCTCCGGTCTGCCTCTGCATTAGAGGCAGACTGGGAGCACCTTGACAGTGCTGCCCAGCACATGTGCTGTCAGAGCGAGCACATGTGCTTAGTATACTTACCTTCCGCCTCCCTGCACTTCCTGGTTCTGTGTGAAGTGCAGGCAGACGGATCAGTGATGATCCAGCCCCCTGTTAAAAAATAAATAAAGTTTATTTAAAATCCCACCCCTTTACCCATTTTAATTAAAAATTAACCCCTTCCCTGCCAATTGATCACTGACTACAGTGATCAATTGACAGGAATTACATTTTACTGTCATCTGATTTTTTTAATTTAAACCCCTGAGGGTTAATTCTTTTTTTTTTTTTTTTTTTAACCCTCAGGGGTTACATTTATTTAATTAATTAATTAAAATATTTTTTTCAATTATATGTTTAGCTAGCTGTGGTGGGTGGAAGTTAGTGGGGAATTGGGGGATTTGATGTTAGGCTAACTAGGGGTTAATGTTAAAAAAAGTTTTAAAATAAACTTTAAAAAGTAAAAAATTAAGCTAAAAAAAAGTTGTAATAACGTTTAAGTAAAAAAAAACAAAAAACCACTTTACCCAGTCCAAATAAAAATTAACCCCTTCCATACCAGTCGATCACTGCCTACAGTGATCAAAATACAGATCACAGTATTATACTGTGATCTAATTTTTTTTTTAACCCCTGAGGATTAACTTTTATTTATTTTTTAACCCTCAGGGGTTCAATTTATTTAAATAATTAAAAAAATTTATAATTATATATTTTGCTAGCTGGGGTGGGTGGGAGTTATGGGAAAATGGGGGATTTACTGTTAGTGCTGCTTACTGCTAGTTAGGGGTTAACGGTAAAAAAAAGCTTAGAAAAATTTTAAATTTGTAAAAAAAAAAAAAAAGAACCAACCAGCTCAATTCTAAGTATACAAACACAAAGATAAAGCACCGCGCTAACAGCAGCAGTAGCTTAGTATCCAACAGCTTAAAAAAATTGTAGAAACAAAGAGAACGTTACCTGCGCTCTGGCCTAAATCCCCATGTACATTTAAACAAAATGGAGGCTCTTTAGTTTTATTCCAATGGCCATTTGAATACATAAGCTCACCTGCCACGTCAAGGCAACAAAAATGGCAGTTATTTTTGGATAGCAAGGAGATCCAGATGTTTAACATTCAAACACAGAAACCGCTGTTAATAAAAATGATGTATATATAAGTTCATTTTGCATTTGATGCATTGTAATCTTTGTTTTTTTGCTCCTTAGATCATCAGTACGAGGAGACCTTTCCGAATGGATTTACCCACAGTGCTCATCAGTGTTACACTGTGTCCAGCTCCCACAAGTGCTACGGAATGAAAACAGACCTTTACTTGCTCTTCCTTCTATTTAATGCAGATGTTCCGACATTTAGCATGCGGGCTATTGCTAACAAAACCTTACAGCTCTTTAGCAAGGACTTCCCATTCTGACCCATCGGTGAGCTGTTCAGGACTTTACACTTTAACGGTCGATATAAGATAGGAATTATTTAATCTAATAATTATGCAAACACTCTTGCCCATTAGAAGCTAATGCATCATCTACTAGGGTGTAACTAATAAAGGGACACATTGTGATTACTATAGGGACCAAGGCCAACTTCCTGCTACCCTGAAGCATATTTTGAGATATAGAGCACTCTTACTGACATTTTATTGCCTTGGCCCTAAGCAGTTTTGCATAATGGCAATGAATAAGAGACCAGAACGAAGAATTAACAAAAACATTTTAAATCTGCAATCTAGAGAGCGAAGCAAATAGTAAAGGTTTATTTTACCTTCTAGAGCGTATCAGTAAGAATCTGTATACTACAGTTCATGCCATCTCCTTTATACTGATGGTGTTATTCAATTAGTGGAAATTAAAAGTGAATTTTAGGCCAATATAACTCAAACTGAAAACAAACACTTTAGTGGATAATATTAGCAAAGTCTTAAAACACTAAAGTGAGACTAGCAGGAAATTGAATTTAAAATTAAAAATTCTCCCAGTAAGCTATGCTTTCACTTCGGATACCTTTGCCTTTACTTTGAATTCCCTGCAATTCTCCCTTTAATTAAAGGGATGCTCCAGGCCCCTAAACACTTTAGCTTGCTGGAAGGCTTTATGTGTGACAAGTGTGTCTCATTATTGCAAAAAGTGAAGATTTCAATCAATATTGACACTTCTAAAAATTAAGCTGTTTTTTCAAGCAGACAACCAGTCCTGCTACTTCCTGGTTGGGTTAGCTCAGTGACCAAACCAGGTTACCAGGGCAAGAAGCAGCAATTGCATAGAGCACCTGCCTTGCAAAGACTTATCATTGAACTGCATTGGGAAGTCTGTGATGGGACAGCCACAGAAAGTCTGGGTGGTGTTAAAAAGGGGGGGGGGGGAGGTTGCAAAGGCTGTAGACAAGAGAACTGCAGTTTTTGCAAGCTGTTTTAGAGATTACGTCAATGAAAAAAATGCATAATTAGATGCAAGCAAGTTTTCATTTGAGGTATATCTACTAAACAGTGATTTTTAGTTATTTTATATTTAACCCCGATAAACTGTCATGGAAATTACTCTGCGAATGCTCACTAGAGCAAGTGGAAATGGAGTCGTGATGCTTTTTTATGACCCAGTCACTTTCATGGCATTGTGGTCCTACTTCCGTGAGTGAACACCTTTTTTATTGTTTTGCATTTTTATAAAGAGGAATCTGATCTTTACCAAAAAAACTTAAAAATGAATCACAGTTGCAGCAAAGTGATCCACTGACAGTGAATTTGCTGACTAAAACCTCTGATATCAATACCCACTTCTAACTAGATTCTCTGTGAAATAGCACTTGATATAAAACAGAATTTATGGTCAACTTTATACCCTTTAACAACTATCTGAAGTGTAATGTTTCTAAATTTAGCTTTTTAACAGTCAAAGATCAGGATGTATATCCTGGTCTATAAACCTTAATGTATTTTTCTTCTCTGGTAGGGTGGAAAGGGGCAGTCAACTTTTCTTCTGAAAAGTTAATTTAATTTTGCATAATGCTTTTGTTTGTTTAAATACACCTGTTCAATGAGTTTGAACAACCATGTACGCACTTTCCTTATTTATTCAATACTGTATAACGCAGATGACTTGGGCTGATAGTTCAAAAGCACGCTAGGGCTTTTTCCTCATTCCAGTATGATCTTGTTTTGTAGATTTTTTTGGTAATGATAACTATCTTATTTGTTTTGTTTTGTTTTTCTCTAAATGTTTTATTTGCATAACCTTCTGATCATCAGTAGGCTGATCCAATCAATAAGTGGTATTTTTTTTTTGGCTTTGTGGGTGAATTTTAAATCAACATAGTACATCAAACTGTTATCTGTTGCCTAATCTAAAACAATGTAACATCAATCAGTAGAGCATAAAAACCTTTGATATACATTATGGAATTTTTTGTACTGTTAATCCAGAGACTTAAACCAATTGCTTAGCCGTACTGCAACAATTAACGTTTAATGCAACATAATGATTTTTTTAGGTGGTGTATACTGATTTTTTTTAAAGAAAATCTTTTTTTCAAATCTGGTGCGGGCAACCATGTTGTGTCAGATTCTACTGTTATTTGATCAACTGCTGCACAGCCCAACTTGACTGCTGCTGCAGGTTCACACAGAGCAAACGCAAATGTTGACTATGCTAATTCTGAATAATACATAATCATTATGAGTACCAACCTAAAATCCCATTTGTAACAGATCCTATTACCACTGTAGGAAAGATCCTTGTAGCTTCTTCCGAAATCCCAGCTGAAGTAGAGCAGAATTATAGCTCTCAATCCCCCAAAGATGAGTCGAGACTTCATGAAGGCGTAAAACGATCTGTTTAATAACGGCCACAGCTCGGCCTTTTATGCAGATCCTCCAGCAAGGGATACTCCCACAGGGACCTTGTGGAGGACGGAGACACAAGTTACAGTAGCCAATCATTTTACAATACAATATAACACACACCCACATAAACAATGAAATCCCTCCTCTCTATCCTTGAGATAATTGGGTTACGTGGCCGGAGCAAACATAATTATCTCCAGGTAGAAAAAATATTTCCATTTTAAAAAAGTAACAAAATACATTAAAATATATAACTTTGCTTTTACCGAACGGAATCCCCACATTCGACATATCCCCAGATAGCTTGGGTCTGAGCGCTCAATATAGCCGAACAGCGCTCATATTCCACGGACACAGTCAAATCGCCATGGAGCTAAAGATTCTGTTTACCGACTGTTCGTTAGAAATATACCCAGAATTAGCTCCATGGATTTAGCTATCTGGGTCGGTTCAGTTCGTGTGTTCTGAAAGTACTGAACGACACGGCGTTCGTGTAAATGGAGACGAAAGAGATGTAAGTTGGATAGCCTCAGCGGTGTTCGTGTGAAATTGTGGCCGAAAATAGTTCCACGCAGTCGACGACCAAACACCGCTGGGCGTTTGCCAGTTTAAAATGGCTGCCGGCGCGCACCCAGTCGTTCGTCAAATAGTTGTGGTTAACCACAGCATCTGGGCGATTAATGAGCTGCACACTCCCATTGCGTGTGGTCTTGCTGTTCGGTTTTTTAAAGAAAGAAACGAAATAGGGCTAAATACACGAACAGCAGATGAAATAAAAGGGTACTGGTATTCACAAACGGGTTTTGTCACACCATTTACTTACAATACATCACACCAGCATCAAAGACCATGAGCTGCATTTTGTAAGATCTTGTTCTAAAACATTGGGATTTTTTTTTCCTTTTGTGGTTCTGTAAGCTACAATCTGTTCACTTGAACAATGGTGCTGAGCTTTGTAATTGATTAGTTGCCTCCTCTGGATAATTTTTCTAAATCTTTTGTATTTTGGATTTTAGACTGCAACTGGAGCAGAAAAAAAACAAGCAAACAAAGAAAACAACTATCACCTGTAAGATAATTTCTAAATAATATGGACTGAAATGTGTTATTAGAAGGTACTAAACTTTTTAGAAGTAAAATGTAGATAATTTTAATGCTTTGTCACTATTAATGTAAAGTTTTTTTTTATTTGCAGTATAATACTGTGCCTTACTTCCAGAGATTAAAATGTTGTAGTTTTTTTTATATATATAATAAACTATATAAATATTATATACTTTAATTTTGTGTTTTACTTTGTGCGTTTTGTAATCCTCATTTTATTGTAGTCCACTAATGGGGTACAGAAGGTGCAAGAACAGGTAAGAAATGTCATCATATAAAACTAATTCATCTTGATTTTTGCACATGCATGATAACACCGGGACACTTTAAAGTTGGAGGTGGGAAGAGACAGACAAGTGGTGGGGAGAGTATTAATAGGTAGGGGGCAGGCAACTTGATGAAATAATAGACACAGTGGTCCATTCACTATTGGTTTAAAGGTGAGGGCATTGTAACAGTGCCTGGGGATTGAGGATACCATGTTTTTCTACTCATTGGACTAGGGTATGTGGGAACTTACTCACCAGATACTATCCTCAACTCCACATGCCATGGGTTGGTGGAAGGGATTAGGGCCATTTGTCAGACACCAACCAGGTAAATGTTTCTCTCAACCCCACCTGTAACATTTTGGAGTCCGTTGTCTTCCTGTCCTAATGAAACTCCTATTTAATAAAATGTCACATTTGTCAGGTGTTCAAATAACATTACAATGATATAGGGAAGCAGAGCTAACCACGAGCTGAACGACCGCATGCTGAGAGAGCTCTGAGCAATGAGGAACCTAAAAAAAATCACTAGCAGCACAGCAAACCTTGACAAAATCATCTGCTACCAAATCTGGAGCATTATTGAAGTTCTTCCGCGATAATGCGGACACCCAGCCAGGACCTGCAGGCCCCAACCTGGCGCCGACCTCACCACAGCAGGGCTCTGCACCATCTAGCACTCATCCCCACCTGTGGACGCAAACCTCCACGAGATACTAAAAAGCCTACCAACCAAAGGCGATATCGCAAACATGCTGGGGAAACTGGAGCGATCCTTCCAACTCAAACTGGATGCCATCGGCACAGACATCCGCCATGTGGACGACAGGGTGAGCAAATTCGAGGACGATAAGGACTACCTTCAAACCCAAATACACCAACTACAATCCTCACTAAACTCACACAGCTCCTACCTCTCAAACCAGATCTGTGGATGATATAAATAACCGCAGGAAGTGAAATAATCTGCACATTAAAGGGCTGCCGGAGCAGGATCAGGAAAACCTCATGTCCACGCTAACTGATTTATTCAACTTAATTATGGGAAAAACCCCTGACATGAAAATTTGGCTGGACAGGGCACTACGGCCGTGGAGCCTACCCTCAGAAACACCACGCGATGTGGTCTGTCGACCACACTATTTCCACTACAAGGAAGAGATCCTCAGGACACTGCGCCAGACCTCGCAACCCCTGCTCTACCACCATCACCCAGTGCAGATCTTCCCAGACCTGTCCTGGACAACCCTGCAAGCCAGAAGGCTATTGCGGCCTATTACAGAGCAACTTCGCATCAGGGACATTAAATACCGCTGGGGATTCTCACTCACTCTGGTAACCATCTACAGAGGCACAACACACTCTCTAACCTCAGCCCAAGACGAAGCCTCATTCACCAGAGCCCTGGACTTACCTGATACGCCCATACAAGACTTGTGTAGCCTGGGCTCCGGCAGACCACCGACTCAACAGCCGCAGACACAAAGATGGCAATCCCATCCAGACAGCGAAGACGAGAGGCTGGAGACCTCCTGGCAATGCCGCCACCCTCCACACCAACATACCTAAACCAGAGGAATAAAGTGGCCTACATCTGGGATGCATGCGGACAGACCTTTGCTCCACTGGCTGCAACAGCATAATAAGACGCCAGACACAGATACCGGAGAAAATCCTCTACCACTGCACCTGAGTCCGACACCCTGAGGCCCGCCATCCATCCTGGACTGCCACTCATTTCCTCCTTACCTTACTGGCCCATAATCCGGCAAGCCGCCAATGGACAAACTCACCACACTCCAAGAGCTGATCGATGTCCCATTCACTACTGGGAGTCCCCAGGAAACCCACAGGCAGACTGTTTTGGTGCCCAGCTTCAATGGACTTAAGTAGCCGAACACAGCACCTTCTGATTGATAAGTATTACTAATATATTGTCTGTACTCCCCACGTGTAAGGTCCAGGTGGTTGAGTCAGCTTACCACCCACTACTGGGCAAGTGGACCCCTAGAGCAGGCTGACTCACGCCCACGGGCAGTATATCTGAGGACATTTAAGAAAATCAAATACCACACGGGGACCCGGATACATGGTGGTCACACAGGTGCAGGCAAGGTAACTGGTCCCCTACGAATGGGAGACAGGGAGGCCGGCCAGGTCCGATGCTACTCCCATCTTGCCACTAACACTAATTTGGATATTCAGTTCCCCACCAGATGCTACTGCGATATCCCACTCGCAACATAAATTTGCATCCCTGCCACACTATTCTCGTACCGAATCTTATATTGGAGGTTGACCATGAGACCCCGCTCTCCCGTATGGCCTCATAGTATTTTCTCACCTCCAACACATCTAACCACTACGCACAGGCCTATCACCTGTGCTCTTCCTCCCCACCCCCACCTACGGTCTGAGGGACCACTATTGCGGCGTCACACTATTCCTGATGGGAAAATTATTATGCAAATTATATTTTTTCTCATTTATCTAAATAATTGATGTAAATAACAGTCAGCATAATTCTCATGTTATCAACTATTAAGAGTACAATTAAAATTTGATTGAACAAACCACCTAATGATAACAGTATTTTTTTTAAACAGAAAAAACTTAATGCACTGTTCCAAATTATTACGCACAGTTTCAAGTTTCAAAACACTTTATAGGTTGTAAAGAACTGAAAATTGTAATTTGTGTTTGCAGCATATTTACTGAAATCAAAAGCTATTTCAATCAAACTGATAACATTTTAACAGGTCACGTTACATTTTAACATAGGACCCCTTATTTGATAGCAGCTTCACAAGTCTTGCATCCATTGAACTTGTGAGTTTTTGGACAGTTTCTGCTTGAATTTGTTTGCAAGATGTCAGAATAGCCTCCCAGAGCTGCTGTTTGGATGTAAACTGCCTCCCACCCTCATAGATCTTTTGCTTGAGGATGCTCCAAAGGTTCTCAATAAGATTGAGGTCAGGGGAGGATGGAGGCCACTCCATGACTTTTTCTCTCCTTTTATCCCCATAGCAGCCATTGATGCAGAGGAATTCTTTGCAGCATGAGATGGTGCATTGTCATGCATGAAGATGATTTTATTACGGAAAGCATAGTTCTTCCTTCTGTACCAGGGAAGAAAGTGGTCAGTCAGAAACTCCACATACTTTGCAGAGGTCATCTTTACACCTTCGTGGACCCTAAAGGGGCCGACTAGCTCTCTTCCCATGATTCCGGCCCAAAACATGACTCCACCATCGCCTTGCTAACATTGCAGCCTTGTTGGAACAGGGTGACCATCCACCAACCATCCACTACTCCATCCATCTGGACCATCCAGGGTTGCACGGCACTCAACAGTGAACAGGACTGTTTAAAAATTAGTCTTCATGTATTTTTCTGCCCAATGCAGCAGTTTCTGCTTGTGAGCATTAGTTAGTGGTGACCGAATAGAGGGTTTATGCACAGTTGCAAGACTCTGGAGGACTCTACACCTTGATGTCCGGGGACTCCAGAGGCACCAGCAGCTTCAAATAACTGTTTGCTGTTATGTAATGGTATTTTAGCAGCTGCTCTCTTGATCCGATGCATGGATCTGGTAGAAATCTTCCTCAATGTGCCTTTATCTGCACGACCACGTCTGTGCTCTGAATCAGCCACAAATCTCTTAATAGTGTGATGATCACGCTTAAGTTTTCATGAAATATCTAATGTTTTCATACCTCGTCCAAGGCATTGAACTATTTCACTCTTTTCAGCAGCAGAGAGATCCTTTTTCTTCCCCATATTGCATGAAAATGGTGCTCTGCTTAATAATGTGGAACACCCTCTTTAGTAGTTTGTCCTTAAATTGGACTCACCTGGCAATCTAGTTATCATAGGTGTCCGAGATTGTTTTCAGTGATCAAAAGAGCCCTGAGACACAATGCCATCCATAAGTTAAACTGAAAAACAAAATATTTAATCTTTGTGACACTTAAATAGAATTTGCATATTAATTTAGAACAGGGTGTAGGGCTCCCTACTCCCCACAGGAAGGTCACTGACGGAAATTACCTTTAGATCCTGTATCTTTTGTTGTGCAATTACACAGTGCAGTGACAGGGTAAACTGACAGACGACATGACCACCCTTACGATAGTGACCATAAATGCGAGGGGGTTAAACACCTCAGAAAAGAGATCTTTAGCGTTGACCGAATTCCATAAACTTAAAGCGGAAGATGGTCTTTATACAGGAGACGCACTTCAGACGTGACTCTGCTCCAAGCTTTAGAAATAGCAGATACTCAACAGGCTACTTCAGTAATTTTCCAGACGCCAAAGCTAGAGGTGTCACCATTCTGATAGCAAAAAACTTACCTTTTACATAAAAGGCACACTACTTGGATGACTCTGGCAGAGTCTTATTAGTGAAGGGCCTCATCGGCCATACCATGGTTACACTAGCTAATGTATACCTTCCAAACAGACGGGAATGTACAACCTTTTGGAAAATTCTCAGAACTGTGAAATCCTTTCTAATACTGGGGGGAGACATGAACGTTTCCATAGACTCCAACATGGACATCACCTCCATTGCATCTTTGTATCAATCCCTAACTCGCAGACGATTTACCACACTGCTAGACTCTGCACAACTGTTCGACTGCTGCCGTGTCATGCACCTTACCTCCAGGGACTACTCATACTTTTCCCACACAACAGGGACATATTCTAGGATTGATATGCAGTTTTTCCCCCATAGATTTCTCTATACAGCAGGCTGTCAAACCAAGTAAATTTCACGAAAAGCAAAATCCTCCCGCTAACTTTAGACCTCCACACCGATGAATCTCTACAACGAGATTACCCGTTTCACTGGGCCAAGACAGCTGTTTAATACCTGGGAGTCCACCTCCCGCATGACCTCACTAAAATATACTCACTAAACTTCCCTGCTCTTTTGCAGACAATACAGGAAGACCTAACCAAATGAAACAAATCACTGTTCAGCTGGCTTTGCCACACTCACATACTGAAGATGAACACACTGCCCAAAGTCCTATACCTATTGCAAACTTTGCCCATCTTCCTGCCCAACTATTTCTTTAACACCATAACTCGCCTCTTTAACACCTTCATTTGTTCTCATAAACACCCAAGAATCACTCTCCGAGTTCTTACGAGCCCTAAGACACAAGGAGGACTGGGACTGCCTGACACTGAGACGTACCATAATGAATCTATGACTGGTCACGTCCCAGGAACCCGAAACACTGGGTGTACCTAGAAAGCCTCGGATTTCAGGGCCAGTTATGCACGATCACTGGCCCCGAACTACACCTCCCACCCCACTATACCGGCCACATTGAAGGTCTGGCGTAAACTCCGACCTCTGCATAATATCTTTATGCACCCATCACCACTCTACCCCATGCCGAGTACCCTTAATCCAAGCCACACAGGTACATCACATGCTCCACAACCTGCCATACCCTAGACTAGGTTCCTTATTCATCAACCAGGGACTGAAGCCCATTGCGGAAATAATCCCGACCACGACCTTCCAAACTCCCCTACAACGATCTGGTTACTCACAACTAGCCCATCTTCTCAAAACAAACCCCCTTCTCTTGGAGGGCACTAGAGATCTCACCGCCTATGAAACAGCATGCTGTACCCACACCATTAAAACTAAGCATCTACTTTCTATAAGTTGCTCCAACATAAAGACACACCAACACCCCCGAAGTTAATGGCCCAATGTGCTACAGAACTCCACATTTCCTTCACAGGTGACGAATACAAAAGCCTATTAACTAATATCTTCCGCACATCAGTCAGCAATGCCACACAAAAAGGAACTACAAAAGAGTCTCCAGGTGGCACTATACACCCTCGCACCTCCATCACCTCTTTCCCAACACCTCGGATACATGCTGGAGATGTGGACAGACACAGGGTAACCCGGGGCTTATATGGTGGACATGCCAGGTCATCCAATGCTTTTGGACATGCATACTAACACTGATCCAGCTGATCACAGACATACGACTACCCCATATGCCAAAGGTGACACTATTCCTACTATACTCAGCCTCCATACCCATTAGACAATGCACGCTCGTAAACCACCTCCTAACTGCGGCAAACCTTTTGATACATATACACTGGAAAAAGCCACAAGCCCCATCCATAAGACACTGGATCACAAAGGTGGATGCACTGAGGGTGATGGAGGAACTAGATTACTCCCTGACACGCCAGTATTCAGCCTACTTAGCCTGCTGGCAACCTTGGAAGACATATCTGGAGAGCACTCTGTAACAACACAATACCCTACACAACTCTTTAAGCATATCCAGACTAGCAACACTCCCATCCAGTCAATTGGACCTAGAGATCGACCTGTACCATGATTAAGGGACCGACAGAATAACTGCCCGTACCTACTTAGCCTGCTGGCAACCTTGGAAGACATATCTGGAGAGCACTCTGTAACAACACAATACCCTACACAACTCTTTAAGCATATCCAGACTAGCAACACTCCCATCCAGTCAATTGGACCTAGAGATCGACCTGTACCATGATTAAGGGACCGACAGAATAACTGCCCGTACCTACTTAGCCTGCTGGCAACCTTGGAAGACATATCTGGAGAGCACTCTGTAACAACACAATACCCTACACAACTCTTTAAGCATATCCAGACTAGCAACACTCCCATCCAGTCAATTGGACCTAGAGATCGACCTGTACCATGATTAAGGGACCGACAGAATAACTGCCCGTACCTTCTTAGCCTGCTGGCAACCTTGGAAGACATATCTGGAGAGCACTCTGTAACAACACAATACACTACACACCTCTTTAAGCATATCCAGACTAGCAACACTCCCATCCAGTCAATTGGACCTAGAGATCGACCTGTACCACGATTAAGGGACCGATAGAATAACTAGCTATACGACTATGCCATACCACATACCGAGATGAGTCGCACTACATTTATTTTAAATTTCAAATTAATTAAAGCCAAGTGAAATGTGCACTTTGTCTTGAAAACTACAGTCCATTCATTAGGATGTTCTTATTCATTCAACAAAGGCTTTAAAGGGAAAGTAGTTTTTAAATGTGCTTATTTGAATATCACTTTAAAATGAAAAATAATTAATTTTACACATTTGCTACATTCCCAAGCTGACATATTTAGAACATTCAATCAAATTACATTATGCTCCCATGCTTTTTATGAAACACTATAGGTTTATACAGATTTTAATTCTGATTCATTCCCTTTTATTTGCACAGATTATCGGTCCGCATTATATCCACATGTTTGATTGAAGAGAATTTTGCATTATCTTTGGCTTTCCATATTTCCCACCAGATCGTTCTATCACCATATTAAAATAAGTAGACATATGATGGCGTGACAATGCATCCATACCACATGGATGCATGTTAGCTGCTTTCCAAGGGCTAATTGGTGATACATGCATTAAAATTGATAAGCCAATACGAAGCTTTCGGCAGATGCAACAAAAAGCATCTTTGAGGTCTTTTTTTTTTTCATTAGGCAGACTGTACCCATGACTGATCTAAGCTGGCACCTGGCTCACTCTGTGATGTGGTCTACCTTTAAGCCCTACTTTGACATTAGGAATGGGATGCATGAAGGCTGCCCATTATCTCCTCTATTATTTGCTCTAGCAATCACTAACAATCAGTGATGACACTAACAATCAGAAACAACCCAAATTTCTACAAGGTTTTAAAATAAACATGGGCAGATACAGGATAATGTTGTATATAATGCAGACTCTACCCATTCGTATTCCAAACCACTTTTTTACAAAGCTGAAGAGAAGTTTTCTCTCCTATGTATGTGCAGGTAAACACCCAAAGATCGCATATAACATATCTACCTTACTAAAGCGTAGGGGGCGAGGGGACTACATCTGCCACATATACATAATTATTATTTGAAAATACTCTTAACTAGGGTTATAGAATGTACAAATACAATAAGCCATTTTCTACACTTCACTGATATGCCAAACTGGGCTCCCAGAGCATGGACACCATTTGAACAGCTATGCACGTCCTTATCCATGGAGACAAAAATTCTATCTTCCCTATACACAATGCTTCAAACTTTACCAAGCCGACCGAATCTCTGGTATTCAAGCATAAATGGGCAGCAGCCTTACAAACTCCTTTAACACAGAAAAATTGGAAGTTTATACATGCTCATGTGATCTGCACCAGTGAGTCCAGGGAGGCAATACGCAAATTATAAAATCTTATCGAGATGATATAATATTCCTGCACTATTGCACACTGTAACAAAACCCCTGTTTGGACAGACTCAGGGAAACAGCATTTCGTCTAAATATTTGTGTGTTTGGCTATTTCGTGTATTTGTAAAAAAGCCTAACAAACTCCCGAACCAACCGACCTCCCACCAGAGTTCTGTGCAGCTATTTACCACACAGATCTTGCGGTTAACCGCAAGGTGATTGATGACAGGCTTGGTGGTCCGCGTTCATTTGCCGAACACGTGGCGGATGCCATTTTAAAATCGCCGAACGCTCAGCGGTAGATGGTCGTCGACCCTCTGGAAATGTTTTCGGACACTTATTTAGCCACACACCGCTGAAGCGTACCAAGTCCATTCGTTTAATAACTCACAAACACCTTACCGGTTGGGACTTTCCTACTATACGAGCTAGACCGACCCCAGGTTGCTGCAGTTATGGAACTCTTTTTGGATTCAATTGCATGAACAACCGGTGAACTAAAAACTTTACTCAACGATATTGAGAACTGTGTTCATGGGATCTGAGCGCTATTCATCTACATTGTGCGCTCAGATCCCAGCTATCTGAGGGTATGTGGCACCTGGAGACTACGTTCCGTGAAATATAAGTTATGGATTTTAATACAGTTTGGTCCAAATGTAAAAAGGACATGTTTTTCTCTACCTGGAGATAATTAGGTTCTATCCAACCACTTAAGTTAATTATCTCCAGGATAGAGAGGAGGGGTTGCACTGTTACTGTGGGTGTGTTTAATAATTGTACTGTAAACTGGTTGGTTCTGTATATTTTGTCACAGTTTTCCACCAGATCCCCTGTGGGAGTTTCCTTGCTGGGAGACCATCATAAAAGGCTGAGTTTGGCCATCAATAAAGAAGAGCGTTTTACCCCTTCATGAAGTCTCGACTCATGTTTGGGGGAATTTGGAGCTATAATCACTACTTCATTATTATTCTGCCGGGTGTTCGGGAGAAGCTGCAAGGATCGGTACTACAGGGATAACAGTATCCTTTACACACACATTGTACCCAAAAGTCACTGATCAGTATGGAGATGGGAATGTTGGAACACACGTGGAATGAAATACTAAAATTGTTTAGTAAAATATTTAATGTCAACATTACAGCTACACCTTCCAAGATAGATACAGACAGACATTATTCTGGATATCAGTAGGAACAGCTAAGTCCCTAATACCCTCACTTTGGGAAAAAGGAACCACCAGGGGTGGAACAATGGATAAATACTCTTTGTGACAAAGCAATAGCCGTAAAGCAACCCTTTCGTGCTATCTGGTGACCAAAGTAAACTGCCAAAAGTAACAAATTGTGACCACTGCTAAGTATTATGAGATTTTTTATTTTCTGTTGTTTATAGTTTCTGTTATTTCACTTTACTCTCTGTTTGTTTGAAGATCGATCTCTTATATACATTCCACTGTCATCATCCCTGGTATTATTACTATTATTATTACTGTGATTGAGACAACACCTTCTTTACATATTTGTGCTGTTGTGAAGAATTCTATTCAGGGGGTTGAACACTTTTAAGACTGTAGAAGTCATTATTAGTTGGATTTCCAGTTGAATTTGGGGAAACCAGTTGAAACATTTGTTGCTTTTGTTTGATTTGTTCATTGCTTAAAAGCGGAAAGTGTAAATTTTGACAATAAACCTGATTTTCAATGAGGGTTAATTATTTTTTATTACGAATATATAATAATGATTGAAGAATGCTATGAAGAATGGTAAAAATCCATGTCTGGAGGTAAATGCTATTTAGAGCGCAATACATTTTTAAAACGTTAAAAAAAAAGGGGGGGGGGGGCTGGCAGCCAAGACGGCCGGACAAGCTCTTTGAGAGCTCTGGGTACAACGTGCAAATGACAACCCAGATTAAACTACCCGTGCCAGATACTCACAAGGCCCTAAAACCAATGCAGGACCACACAGGAATTCGAATGATGCCCGCCAAGCACCACTATATGCTACGTGCACACAAACTGGCCACGCGACCCACATTGGAGCATAGCCCGAGGCTTGGGGGAGGCAGCTGACCTCCGGACGCGGAGCCGCTCACAAGCGAGCACTGAATACTGCCCTGCAACCCTTCCCCTCTGGACCGGCTGGGGACGATTACCCCTACAAGCGACTATCCCACAACCCAATGGAGGGGTGAGGACACAAGCAAGATGGCGACACAGCAGCGCCCAGCGCCAAAAGGCACCCTCGCTAAGCCACCAGAGCACACCTTAGAGTTCTTTGCCCGGCTCAGTGACAACCTGCGGACAAGGCTCCATGGTAGCAGACGGTACCTCCACCTGACCATGCGGTCAATGGCGGCATGGATCCGACCGACAACACGGCACCGACTGAGTAGATACCTACCACGACCCCGAAAGGCGGCCCCCAGCCGTAGACAGAGCCGGGGAACACAGAGGCGGGAAACGGCAACATCCCCCTTAAATGCAGGAATCCGGTACCAAGCACATCCAAAAGAGACCCCTAAACCCACGAGACCCACGACCGCTCACCGACAAGACGAAGCATCATGACGCATCCACGCGTGGTACAATCTCACAACATGCCAAAAAGCACCACCTTACAGGCAACAAGCCCACAGCAACGAGACTATACACTTCTACAAAGACTGTGCATTAGATGAGCGGGCAAAAAGACCCGGATTGCCGGCTCGCCAGCTCTGGTGATGGCACCAACACAGATGACCCTGCAGAATCCACTTAACCTGGCGGACACTTGCAATGAGCAGACACCCATGGACATAAACCTACGCATGGCATACACAGCCCTTACATTGGACTAAGCCCCAAACCTCTGAGCCCCCAATTACCCAGCCTATTACTCAGTCACAACCGCCCAGTGATCCAGCAGTTAACAGGCTACCTGGCTGGCGAGTACTCCACACACGATTATCGTTTGTTAAACTTTTCTTTTTTCTTTTTTGCTTAATGCGCATCTTGCAGTTTCTCACCTTACTGTTGGGACGTTCTATCCTCCCATATATCAGTGGCTTGTCTAGTGACGTTAATACTTATGAGATGCCCTGCCGGCAACCACACAAATAATATACACCTATATTTAATCTCTCTTATATCTAATCACGGTGAAATCTTTGCTAGTTAATCTAATATTTCTAAAAATGTGCAACATGCCATGTTTTTGTTATAATCCTTGAAAACCATGCTTGTGAAAGCTAATGTGGCCATGCAAGCACTGCTGTAATTTCATGCACGACAAAAAAAAGTAAAAAAAATTACGTAGACATATAACTTGCTCATTTGGCACTGTGCTGATTCTGCTTGATACAGTAATGAGACGTGTGTGAATGCAGTCTTTTATCTTGAGAGTAGTGATTTTACTTAAGCCTCTAATCCGCTTATCCAATCTGTGTACTCCATGGCCACATTTGTTTTTTTTCAAGGGGCGATTGATAATTTAGAGTTTTTGCTTCTTTTCATTTTTCATGTTACCCAAACAAATTAAAAAACAAAAAAAACTCTTTAAGGGTAAGTAGTTTGGAATAGAGGCATAAATAGAATAGAGGTTGTGTGGTTCAGGTAAGTACAGTTTCACATAACACGCTGTAGTGGGCTGCTATAGTTCCCTTCTTGATGTCAGTAGTCAAACCATTTTCTAAAAGTTTGACTTCTTACTTGTTGTCTGCTGGGTGACGGCCTCTGCCACTGGCGGAAGCTCTCTTCACTAGGCTAAGGTTTGTGATGTTCGATTGGCTTATTGGTTGACTGTCTCATCCAATGAGCTGACCCTGTTTTAGATCAAGAAACATAGAAACATAGAATGTGTCGGCAGATAAGAGCCATTCGGCCCATCTAGTCTGCCCAATTTTCTAAATACTTTCATTAGTCCCTGGCCTTATCTTACAGTTAGGATAGCCTTATACCTATCCCACGCATGCTTAAACTTCTTTACTGTGTTAACCTCTACCACTTCAGATGGAAGACTATTCCATGCATCCACTACCCTCTCAGTAAAGTATAGAAACATAGATGGTAACAGAAGCTCTTGGCAGGAGCTTGTGGATCTCCATACAGAAAGTGACTAGCAGGACCCCAGGTAAGAAGTAAAGCCGTTAGCAGACTGTTTGACTACTTACATTAATGAGCACCAAGGGGTTATGGTGTTTGAAGTATTTCTTGTATGTAGGATCATTTCACAAGTGCAATTTATCTGCCATGATTTTGGAATGGAGTTCATAGGATAATTTATAGTTAAGATTGGCATTTTGCTACCATCACACACTGATTTATCATCTTTCGACTGCATCATATAATGGCTGAAAAATTAGGGCAGAATAACAGAAAAATACAACAGGATAAATGTGTGTCCAAATCTCACAAAATGTGGAAATAGAACACACAAAGGTCAGAATGGTAGTTCCAGATCCACCAATAAAGGGGCTTGTACCCAAAATAAAGTATTAGAAAATAGAGAATGCTAGAGTCTCAAAGGAATGAGACTCAGAACTGGTTTTAAACAAAATACAGGAAATTCTTAATACATATAATGACTCCAAAGTTCAGCACTGGGTATTGATAAACGAAGTTATCCATATAAAAAGTAGCCTACTAATTCCAAAAGATGCCACAGAAAATTAATTTAAAAAAAAAAAATACTTTATTGGAATTATGAGCAAAAAAGGCACTATATATGGAAAGTCAAACTTAAGATTCAAAATTAATATGGATATTATTGCCAAATATCAACAACAAGGAGGCTTACTTAATTAATAGCCTCAGAAATGGGGTAGAGCTAATAGCCATAGTATAGACAGCCAGAGGGTAGCAAAATGGATGTATATATAAAGTGAATTTGCCCTATTGTTCCTAAATGAAACACCTTCAAGGGTGTTCTATGCTGTCCCTAATAGTATATAGCGAGGAATCAGACCTCATTGGGGGTGCTTATGAAGGGGCAGCAATAGAAGGAGAGAAGTAGATCCAAAATACAATTACCTATAGCTCCTAAAGTAAACACCTTCAAGGGTGTTCTATGCTATCCCTGAAGGAAAGATGAAAAGGAGAAAGTCCCTCTGCCAGTCTCCCCTAAGTCACATAACTCAGTGCTGAAATAAAAGTAACAAAGTGAATCAAAGACCTAGTGACACCATGTGAAAAAAAAGTGTGAGCTAACAAAGAACCCGATGCGCGTTTCGGTGCGTCTAATGCACCTTCGTCAATACCCAGTGCTGAACTTTGGAGTCATTATATGTATTAAGAATTTCCTGTATTTTGTTTAAAACCAGTTCTGAGTCTCATTTCTTTGAGACTCTAGCATTCTCTATTTTCTAATACAGAATAACAGAAAAACTAATATTGTGTTTAACGTGTTTCGTGTCTCTTTCGACGCGTTGTCTGCAGCAGAGGTAGATTCAGTTTTAGAACACCACATGTATATATATATTAACACCCACTTACATATATCTAAAAATGGCCAATACCCTAACATACCTTGTAACCGATTGCCTGGCACTCTGACTGGGTACCTCAGTTTGACGGATGCTCCTAGTGCTTCCCGAGGGCTCCAAGCACTCCTCTAGACACCATAACCACCGCAGACCCCCTTGGTTGGGATCTCGCCGTCTTCCCCCCACTCTGGACCCAAGACCAGGATCCAGCTTCCAGTAGGTAGACCTCTCTTGTAATCCAGAGAGCAGGAACAGGAGAGTATAGTGATTATAGCAGCTTACCCTGGGGAGTATAGTAATTATAGCAATCCCCAGAGTGTAGGTAGTTCTCCAATCCCCCAAACATCAGCCAAGACTTCATGAAGGGTAGAACAAGTCTGAGGCTTTATTGGTGCAGGTTTGCTTATATACAATTCATCAGAACAGAGGCACACCCCCTGGACCTGATCGAACACAGACACACAAAGGACACAAACAATGTCCGACACTCCACTTACAGCACACAATCCCTCCCCTCTGCCTGTGATACAATTAACAAAGACAATGATCTAACTCAATTAACGCTAAACAGAAAAAAACATACATTTTTACAAACCCCAAAAGTACCCCAAAATACAACATATCCCCCAAAACATGATAACCCCGATCTGGGTGAACAATATATCCAAAAATCACCCAGATTGGTTCAGGGGTTCAGGAATTTCCTGGAAGTCTTATTTTTGACCCACCGTGCACATGGTCCCATGCCCAAAACAGTTCCATACACTCGACAACAAAACACCGCTGGACAATTTAAGATGGCCGCCGCCACGTGTTTGAATCTGTTCCAGTTAAAAGTCCAAGGGGCAGAAACAGTACTTTTTTAACATGGCATATCACAGGGCCCAT